CCAGCAGGCTACTCCAATGACCCTGAATGACTCTTCAGACAAGAGTATTCCCACTCCCACGTGGGTCCAGGGGCTGGACCTTCTGCACAGAAGGCAAATGAGGTACCACTGAGATACCATGGTGGTGGTTGATCAGTGGGAAATGCAAGGCTGGATGCCCACTGGGGCACCTTATTCCAGAGGGGTGAGTCTTGTTAAGAGTGTTGTGGCAAAAACAAAGTGTCCTGTGACACCTGAACAACCCCCGCATTGTGCCAAAAGTTTTCTCAGGCTACCATGAGAGTAGTCAAAGTGATGGCCTCCAGATGTTTTAGACCAGGCATAGACAAACTCAGCCCAGCATATGTTTTGGGACTACAATTCCCATCATCTCTGACCACTGGTCCTGTTAGCTAGGGATGATGGGAGTTGTACTCCCAAAACATCTGGAGGGCCGAGTTTGCCTATGCCTGTTTTAGACTCATTCCCACCAGTCCCAGCAAGAATGACCAATGGTTAGTGATAGTGGGAATTGTGGGAATATTCAGGGAGATGACCTGAGGGACTGCTTGGCTGGCAGCCAGCAGTTCATTCCAGGAAGTTCACAGGATGAAAGGAAGATGGAAAAGAGAGAGAGTGGCAGCATGCCTTGGCCTTTTTACCAGATCTGGAAAGGTCACGACCACCCACTAGTCACATGCAAGGAAGGATGCTCCAGGCCAGGAGAAACAGGAAGTTTGGACTGGCTGGACCAAACATTCCCTTGCATGTCCACTCTAGCAAAACAAGGAATGTTGTATTTGACTGCTCCCAGTGGATTACATCCCACAGGAATCACAGTCTAACAATATCTGGATGGCACCATGTTGGCTACCCCTGAGAGAGCATAGAGGAACCTCAGACGCATCTTCTGCATTGCACTGCACTGGTGAGGGGCGGGTTTACAAAAGGATGTTGTAGTTGCTCCTAATGCCCTTTGCCTGGTTCTGAGGTCGGGAAAAGAGGTAGGGAGCTGGGTTGCCTGCCTGGCAGAGGATGGTGATGTTGGAAGCTGTGCATGTCCCGAATCTGGTCCCCCCCAAAAAGGCGCCAGCCACCATCACTTGTCGCTCTGGAGCAACTCGAGGAGCTGCTACAAAAAGAATCATCTTGCCGATCGTGTGTGTGTGTGTGTGTGTGTGTGTGTGTGTGTGTGTGTTTCTGTCAAACCAAGGAAGGCAAGACGCGATGAGAAACAAAAACTCCAACGTGGCTGCGTGTGCTGTGCTGTCTCCCACTCCGACCGAGACCTGGTTGCTGCTCAGAGGGACACACTCAGACGGAGGATGAAGGAATCGCAGCCAAGAACCTGCAGGTAAAATTAGACTCCCTCAGATTCGTAATACGAAATTAGCTGTCACATTTGGCTTATCCAAAGAGGAGCCTTGTGCGTGACAAGCATATTTAGTATATTCACCATTGCATCTCTTGAAACACACACACACGTTCATGGGCATACAGAATAGACAGATAATAGGCAGACCGAAGAACAAGCTGGCTAATTAGAGATCCTCGTGGAAACAAAGACAGGACGATGGAGAGACAGATATGCCAGAACTAAATAGGCGGATATCTTAAAAAGCATTAGTATTATCTTTAAGCGCAAGAACGCACGGGGGACAGCGACTTTCGCTGCTCCTCTGGGTTGAAATGATCTGATTGCTGCACACCCTCACGTAATAATTAGTTTGGACCAATTTCCATTTTCTTATGATGCGCAGGAGGCCTGTGTGTAAGTAGGTAATGTATTGTAAGGGTGCACAGCATATCTTCATGCGCTGCTCTTCCCCACCCCCTTTGTAAGATCTGACAATAAAAAATCGTGTTTGCGATATCCTATCTAATCCCCCCCGCAGGAAACCAACGAGGAGCACAAAACTCGATGCCTTTGATTTCCATCAAGCCTCGCCCGACAAACATGCGGCGAATGTGAGACATTTCAAGGAGGAAATCAGGGACGACCAAAGAAGTGTAACTGGATCTGAAAAGCCCTTCCAGCTTCTATTCTGTCACTTCTCATGGAGCCCTTTGTTATGATTTCACTAAGTTAGGTAATGTGACAGACGTCTCAGATTTTCCTGAAATGGTGGCCTTTTAGGCTATATATTGAGTTTGGGGAGTGGGGAGGGAAGAGCGGGAGGTGGATGGAAAGAGCAACTCTTGGTGACCCCGTGTGTCAATCCGCTGCTTGAACCTGGTGGGAGAGCATTTTGGGTACGGAGAAGGGAAGATAAAGTTTTGGCTGCTAATGAATGTCTAAAAGTGGCCTCGGTTCCAAAACAAGCATCTAAGCCATACGCAGAGTAGATTCATTGAAATCAGTGAAGTGAAATTAGCCATAATTAACTCCAACCCATTTATTTCAGTGGTCTGCTCTGAGGGTATCTTAGTCGCATTCAGTCCCAAGCCTGCACATCTAACAGGGCGTAACACCACGGTTTTGATCTCGACTTTGCCTTGGGTACATATTTAGGGCAATACCTCTGTTAGATCAATCAAAATACCGCAAAATAGTGGGCAAGCTTTCCAAATGTTCAGAACTGTTCATCAAGTTAGACGGTGAAAAGAACCATGACAGGTGAGGAAGAGGACTCTGTCGCCTTGCAGATGTTCTGAGACTCCAACTCCCAGCTGCCCTTCCCAGTATGGCCTGCAGTCAGGGATGATGGGAGTTGTAGTCTGACAGCATCTGAAGAGCCACATGTTCTCCATCCTTGGTATATAGACAGCAAGGAGCAAGATGGGCCCATAGTCTAACTCAGTATCTTCATAACCCTCAAAGTATGTTAGATGGAGAGACAGTCACTATCCTAAGGTCAGCCATTGAGCTTCGTGACTGAACCCGAGTCTCCACAGACTTAGTTCAAGACACTAACCAGCACACTAAACTGGCCTCCAGACGTTTACAGACCCGTCCTTCCTCCTGTATTGCTAAAACTGTTTTAAGTGTTGGGATGCAACTCACCTTGTCTTACGGCTGGTGGGGTTTGCATGGGGAGAAAGTCGACAGAGAGAGGAACCTCCAAGCTTCCTAGATTGTCTTTCTAATCTAACTTAATTTGTGCTGACATTTCCTAGATGGTTAGACCGCTATTCTTAGGGTTGCTGACCACCACCACCCCTTGTATCTCACTCTCGCTTCTGAAGCTGAAAGGAGAGGAGACATCTTCCTTTTGTTTCTCTCTCCTGAAGAAATCAAAGACCAAGCAGGGCTCCTTTGCATCTCCGACTATATTAGCTAAGGCAGGAACTCCTTACTAGCCAATATCTGCATCCTATAAGAAACGAAGCTTTCTTATTTTCCACCCTTGAAGTCTCACTGTTATTGCTCCCCAGACTGGACCCTTGCAAGGCTGGCCAAATACATTCCTCTGCCTAATCGAAAGGACAAGGAACTACCCCACCACCATTTCTTTACTAAGCCGTGCGTTGAAACTCTCTGCCTCTTGGCCAAGGTGAAGTCCAGGGCAGCTGCCTGTTGAGATTCAGTTGGCTGCTTGGGGAAACCTCAGTCGGAAGTTATCTACCCTGTTCCTAAACACATTGCTTGAATGTGGAAAGTTTGCGAAGCTGCCTTGAAGAGCTCCGATGTGATCCATCAAAAAAGGCCAACGACCCTAACCTATCCTACCTGATGAAGTAAGCAAGCAAGCGATGAATGGACATCATTTCCCGACCAAAGAAGAGAAGTGATCCGTTACAACTCCCCGACCAGCCTTGTCGTTGCCTTCTGCTTGATGTGGACTGCAAACTCCTAACACTATCCGACCAAAGTTGAGTCCTCTTAGAAGAGATCCTCCTATTAATTTTAAGTGAAGAGATTAGACTGCATCCCAATACACACTTACCCGGGAGTAACCCCACTGATCTCCTTGATTTCCTTCTGAGTAGACGTGAGGATTGTAAACCACGCATTTAACTCTCCCATTTGCCTTTAGCGCTTGGCTAAAGTGTTTCTAGAACTGGGGTGTAAGCGAACCTTTTTGGTACCCATATCCTAAAAGTGTGACTCGGAAGTTATTCCCAAGGTGTTGTTTGCTACTTATCCGTTACATTGCAATTTGTTTTAGCATCATAGGTTATATATATTGGGCCGCTGTATTTTTAAATGACAATGGCCGTTGGAGCCATAGGGACGGGGCGAGCTAGATGTTTGGATAAATGTGTGCGTATCACATTTTCTCTATCACTGCCTCTCAGTGTCTGGAAAAAACTGCACCTGCTTTATTTCTACCTGTCACGCGTGTGCAGGAGCCCTGGAAGGGGCGGGGGGAGTGGGATTCTTTGTGTTGCGTTCTGCCCAACATTTACTGCAGGCTAGCTAGTAGCCTCCCTTTGCAGGACTAGCGTGCTCTCTGGTAAGTCCAGATGGAGGAATGGGGTTAGTAGCTGCTACGAAGAAAGGCGTCGTGTATTGAGGGCGCCAAGGGAGAAGGCAGATCGCTTCCGCTCGAGCGCAGTTGACACTGAAGTATTTGCATTCTGCCAGGGCTGCAACGTTTGCTTGATTAACAGCGCAGGCCTAACCGTGTCGGCTCAAAGAAGGGTCTGTTGAATTCAGCGGGGCTTACTCCCAGGTAATTGGGGTTAGACTGTCGACTTTCTGAATATAAAACGGATAAGGTGGGCCCCGTGAACCGTGGTGCTGCCTGGTGATGATGATAGAGACTTCTAAAAACTGCCAGCGCCGTACTAGAATAGACACACCCCATTTTTCTATCACACGTCTTCTACAAGATGGCGCACGCGTCTTATGAGTACTCATGTATTATTACTAATATTATTTTAAATATTTTCTGATAATATATATTCCATTCCCTTAATCCCAGACACACATGCAAGGTTCATTAAAAGCAATGATCTTGGTCCGTGAGAAAGAATAAGAAATAACCTCGCAAAATTCATAGCTAGAAAATACCTTTATTAGGACTAACCAAAATGCCACCAAATCGTGGCGAGCGTTTGCATGGCTAAGGCTGCAGCCCTGATGCTTTTCTGGGAGTAAGCCCCAGTGACCTCAGCTGGACTGGTTCCTGCGTAGACTTGCAGGACTGCACTCTTAAGAGCTGGGAGTACGTCCCACTGACGTGAAAATCGCAGCCTTCTTTCCCTAGGAGGAAAGTAAATGGAAATAAGAAATCACAACGGAGAGGCGATTTGCTGTGAATTCCTTTTCTCGATGTTCTGCGAACTCAGAGTGGTTTGAGGATTATACCTTAAAACAGGAGGGTGACACGCACCCCCCATGGTGTTGCATTCCAAGTTCCCATCAGCCTCAGCTAGCATGGGCAATGAATGGTCAAGGATAATGGGAGCTGGGAGTCCAGAAACATATCGAAGTCCATAGGTTCCCCAGCCCTGCCTCATCAGTGATGATTATTTTTATGGACACTCTCAAAAAACTAGTACAAGGTTTCAGGAAAGTCATTCTCAAAATTTATATGGCCAAGAGTCTCTCCTGGAGGAGAGTGCCTCTGGCTGGGTGTGGATAGTGGTCCTGATGCAAGCTGGGGTTTTGTGCGTGAGAGCAAGAGAACCAACACGGCTGAATGTTCTATTTACAAGAAGGCGCAATATTCACAAAGTGGAACAGGAGGCGGCTGCTTCTGTGCCAGCGTGTTTCGTGAAAATAGAACAATGCCTTGGTGAGCTTTGAGCAGGTGGTGATCACTGAAGGAAGGCGAAGACAGGAGTGCTGCCTTGAAAGGAGCCTAGCAGGTCAATCCCACCTTCTTACAAGAACCTGATTTCATCCTCTCCCTGTTTTATTCTCCTGTTTTATCCTCACAACATTCCTGTGAGGTAGGCCAATATAAGAAACAGCGACTGGTTCCGGGATCAGATAATGAGCTTTTTTAAAAAAGCAGAAGGTGGGCTTGTATCCCCAGCTGTGTCTCCCCAGCAAGGTCAGCCCCCTCGCCTTTGCGCCACACTATCAAGATAGAAAGAATGCAACTTATGGAAATGTTCTTTATCATATTGCGGAACCCTTAATGAAGCACGGTTGCAAAGTTGAGATGAAATCCGTCGGCTTTCGCTACGGATGTCAAAAGCGCTTTGCCTCTTCCCTTACACCCAGAGACCAGAGCAGCCTGTTTCATTGGTGCCTAATTGCAACCCACCACACCAGTCTCGTTGGCTTGCCTGCCCTTTTCTCTGGCATGCTTCCCTCATTTAATTAACACAAGAGCCCTTCTCTCTCTCTCCGTTTCTTTTTCCTTAGGACAGCTCAGGACTCCTAAAGCCTCAATCCCACAAGACTCGTGGGGCGGGAAGAAGGATGCCGAAGGTGCCTGGCGCTGAGAGGATGCAGAGAGCGAAGAGACCAAGTCAAAGGTGCTCGCCTGCGCCGCTTGGGATGGAGCGAGAAGCGTCCCCCTCTCCCGGTGCCTCCCGCTTTCCAAACCTGCTTTAACTCGATTAGGAAATTAAAAGGCACTTCTAAGCGCATTTTCCCTGCCTCAGTGGCTCCCCCCACCATTCCTCTGTCTCTCTATAACTTCTGCTCTGTTTAATGATAATTCATCGCGCAAGGCGTTTTGTGCGTCTTGCGCTCCCGAGAGTGTGTGTGTTTGTGTGTGTGATTTTCCACTCAGGTAAACTTGGCGAACCTTGAAAGGACCCGACGTCTTGCCTTTTGAAAACATTGAGTAGGAAAGATGGAAAGAAGTGGCCTATGGAAACACCAAGAGAAGTTTCCGTCTCAGACAAACGCTGCCGAGAGAGATGAAGTAATCAGAAAACCTAGCAAAGGAGAAAGTGGTGGGGGAGAGGGAGGAGAAAGGAAAAGATTGAATTAATTAGCCTTAAAGAGCTCATGCTTGATGGAAAATCAACAACGATCTTAGTTTCCTTGGGTCATTTGCATGCGTTTCAGAACTATGCTATCCTCTTCATCCTGGCTTCCATTTTCTAGAGAAATTTTCAGTGGCGTCAGTATCAAGAAGAAAACCTATTTTTTACCTTTTGCCCCACGATTCTATTTACCCCAAAGTGGTGCAGTTCAGACTGCTGTCCTACGCACACTTACCAGCAACAGGCCCCATCAGGAGTCTCACGTCAATCACACCAGGATATATTTACAAATATGATATTTTCAAAGATGTAGATATATATGCCTTCATTTGGTGTGTATCACATTTCATTAAAAACACGCTTCACACCCTTAAAAGAATCCTGAGAACTGTAGTTTAATCTGTACAGAGCTACAATTTCCAGCACCTTTAGCAATATACAGTTCCCAAGATTCTTGGGGGGGGGGGATGCTTTAAATGTATGGTGTATGCACAGCCTTGGTGCAATTCTATACACACTTACCTAGGTGTAAGTTCTACTGAACACAACTGGGCTTACATCTGAGTAGACATGCATAAAGGTAAAGAGGACCCCTGACCATTAGGTCCAGTCGTGACCGACTCTGGGGTTGCGGCGCTCATCTCGCTTTATTGGCCGAGGGAGCCGGCATACAGCTTCCGGGTCATGTGGCCAGCATGACTAAGCCGCTTCTGGCGAACAAGAGCAGTGCACGGAAATGCGGTTTACCTTCCTGCCGGAGTGATACCTATTTATCTACTTGCACTTTGACGTGCTTTTGAACTGCTAGGTGGGCAGGAGCAGGGACCAAGCAATGGGAGCTCACCCCGTCGCAGGGATTCGAACCGCCAACCTTCTGATCAGCAAGTCCTAGGCTCTGTGGTTTAACCCACAGCGCCACCCGCATCCCTAGGAACACACTAAAGCATTTTGATATTTCCTGAGTCAGAAGGTCCCAAGAGCCTTTTCCTGTTTTGTGCAACTCCTCCTGCTCTTGAAGAGTTCAGAGGCACAGGGTGGAATCAGTGCCAGTTTTTTCATCCTGTTGCAGTCAGTCTCTGATGCTCCAAGGCTTTTTTTTTTTACATCTCAGACTCACCCAACATGTGGTTTTATGCAGGAGTAAAGTCCGCATGTGCTGTTGCTGACTACCAAACTCAGGTCAAAAAGAAATAATAGAATGGAAGAGGAGGCAGAAAGAAAATAGATTAGATGCATAAATGGGGAACTGTGAGATGCAGTGCTGATGTTCCTTTGGCGGTAGCCCATGATGGAGATGCATTGAGGATTAAATCTGTAAATTACATTTTAAACCTTTCGTACCATGTGTGTGAGAGAAATATGAGAGTAAACAGGCTGTGAAGCCCTTTTAGCAGAGTAAAAACACAAGCATTTTTGCAGCTTACTAGATGCTAGGAATTACCGTAGGCAATTACACCTCTTATTCCTGCTTATTTGTGGTTGGTTGACCTTTCCCCTCTTTGTCCCCATTGCTAAGAATCAACCACATGCTTTAGTGTAAAAAAAAAAAAAAGTTTACTTACGTTTCAGTGCAGGCAGCAAATATATCAAAGTAGTATGCAGGCAAAAATACTTCTTAGTTACAAAATACAAATGTAGTTTGGGCAGAGTCCAAGGATGTACATCTGCTCACATTGTTGGCTTCAAAGGAAGAGAGAAACTGAGGCAAGGAGGAAGGAGAAAATATTAAGCTCCTCTGTCCTGTTTCCTGCTGCAGGAAGAAAGGGATATGACATCACACAGACCTGTGTTCTCTAGGAATACAGGATCTCTGAAACCTTTTTTAAAATCATTTTTATTGATTTTCCAATAAAAAACATCAATTTTATTTTAATTGAAGTATTATGATTGGATATTTAACAGGAACTCTGAAACTTAACCCCTTCATATGCTTATTTAGCAAACATAATTGTAATTTTGATTGCAGATTTTCTACAGCCCAAAGGGGAGAAGAGGGAGCTAATGAATCAAGGTGTAGAGACACTTCTGTAGAGAAAAGTGAATGGTGGTGTTTGGAGTTTAATGCTCAGAAGAAGTAAAATTAATACAAAACCCCACACACTTTACCCTGGGTACAACCACCCTGGATACTCTAAGTTTGCAAAATAATAAAGCTATGTTTATTACTGGAATTACATAGTTGATGGGGGGGGGAAATCCCTACTTCTCTCTAACATTTTTAGGCAAAACTATGAGGATCAATTTTCCAAGGGTGAAACCATTAGGCCAAAATGAGATAAAAGGGGTGGGTGGGGGAGAGAAATTTTTTTTAAGTGCTAATAAGACTGTAGCCAGGAAGCCATGTTTTTGAAATATCTTTCTGTCTATCTATTGTATTCCATGAGCAAAGCTCCCTGCATGTAAAACATTTATGTATATTACACTTACATTCTGCTGTGGCAGCATACAAGACTCTCCACCCTCCCCAATTTCGCCATCACAACAACCCTGTGAGTAGGCTGGAATGAAAATGAGTGATTACCCTGGGGGTAGGTTTTGATATTCTACTTTAAAACATGCAGGGAGAATTTTCATTGGTAGAGCATTAAAAATGCAGCCCCACTCTTGCAACCTGTGGGGTGCAGCACAGCATTCTACCACCTTTCTACTTAAGGTAGCCCACCTCCAATTACTCAGAGAGAAAAGGGGTGTGCTTTCACATCTGCCTCACTGGCCAGAAGTTGCCCATAAGGCAACCGCACTAGACCCAGCTTTGTTCAGAAGATAAACATGCCAAATGAGGAGATTAGATTCTTGCTTGAGTTAGTTGCATGTTGGGGCTATATGGCGAGTGCCAGTAATTTTGATATTTATGTGAAATGAGGGCCAACGCAGCCAGCAACTTGATTTGCCCCTCCTGGCAAAATAGAGTCAATAATGACAGCTTCAGGTGTCCTGTGATGAAAATGCAGAAATTCTTCCACTGGCAAGTCATCTCGGGAGACAGATTGGGCTCATTATTTCCAGAATATGCATAATCAGCCCATTGCTTTATACACAAAGGGAGGGGATCTGGTTTCTCGGGCTCTGCAGCAAGATCCTGGGAATGTTATGCAGCGGGGCGGGGATCCTTCTGAGTTCAACACGGTTTAACTCTATCAGCAAGTGTGCATGCCACTGCCCGATCCTATGCATGTTTTTACTCAGTAGAAATTCTCACTGAGTTCAATGAATTCTACTCCCAAGTATATAATGATTGGAACGCTGGATACATTTTCAGAATAAGAATATAAATGGGGGTTGTGTGTGTGTGTGTGACTTATTGACCTTACATTCTTTAAGGAACTCAATGTGACATACATGGTCCCTCCCATGTAATCCCCACAACAACCCTGTGAGGTCAGTTAAGCCAAGAGGCAGTGATTGGCCCAAGGTCACTCACTGAGCTTCATGGCCAAATGGGGAATCAAACCCTGGTCTCCCAGGTTCTATTCCGACACTCTAACCACTACACCACACTGGGCAGTGGTTACTGTTTTACACTTATGAAATCTGAATCATAACATAATTGTTATGATTGTTAAGACTGAATACTTGGGTGATGCCTTACTGGAGCAGATTACCAAACATTGAAAAAGGAGAGAAATAGTAATCGTGGGGGACTTCAACTTCCCTGATATCTGTTGGAACTCAAACTCTGCCCAGAGTGTAAGTTCTGACAGACTCCTCCAATGCATTGCTGACAATTTCATTTTCCAGAAGGTGGAAGAACAAACATGGGGACCATCTACCTTGGATCTGGTCCTCACCAATAGGGAGGAATTGATTGATGATGTGGAAGTGCTCAGAAAGTTGGGAGGAAGTGATCATTTTTCTCCTGGTTTCAGGATACAGAGGCAAGGGGAAACTGAGTGTAGTTGGACGTGCATTCTGGACTTTAAAAAGGCCAATTTCGAAAAGCCTAAGGAGCTACTGTGTGTGATCCCATGGTCAGAAATACTCAATGAGAAGGGAGTCCAAGAAAGATAGCAGTTTCTAAAAGGAGAAATATTGAAGGCCCAAATGCAGCAGACAATATCAACAAGAAAGGAAAGTGGGGAGCATCTAAGGAAATTGGTGTGGCTGCATAAGGAGCTTACAGATGAGCTGAGAATTAAGAAGGGCATGTATAAAGAAATGGAAGAAAGGGAAAATCACAAAGGAGGAGTATACATGAATAGCCAACAGTTGCAGGGGGAAAGTCAAGCCGGCTAAAGCTTAGAATAAGCTCAGGCTTGCAAGAGAGGTTAAAAATAATAAAAAAGGTTTCTTCAGCTATGTCCAAAGTAAGAGGAAGAACAAGCAAGTGGGGAACATGGAGAAATGCTATTGGGTGACAGAGAAAAGATGGAACTACTCAACACCTACTTTGCCTCTGTCTTCCGTGATGCCCAACCTGGTGATAACAGAGTAAATGATGTAAGGAGGGAGTTGCAGCCCAATATAGGAAAAGAGGCAGTAAGAGAACACCTAACTACTTTAAATGTATTCAAATCTCCAGGGCTTGATGAGCTGCATCCAAGGGTACTAAAAGAATTTGCGGATGTAATTTCAGAGCCTTTGTCTATTATCTTTGAGAATTATTGGAGAACAGGTGAGGTCCCTACAGACTGGAGGCAGCAAATGTTGTCCCCATAGGGGGGAAAGGAAGATCCAGGTAACTACGACTGGTGGCAAGTGGAAAGATGTGTGGTTTTCATTTTAGAAAGTCTCACGAAAAGCAAGCAACTGCTAAGAGAGAGGCGAATCCTATTGCAGCCCAGAATTGCACGGCGTTATCCAAAGCCGGGAAGTCTAAAACGACTTACGCTAAAACCTCGAGGAGTCTTACTATTAGGCAGAAGGAAGCGTACTTTTCAGGGAGCTATGAAAGAACAACCGATTATCAGTCACTGTGTTACTTAATTATGGGAAGTAACATTAAATAGAAGCAAAAAACTATCCACTCCGTGTTCATAATCAGTACAAAATATTTCTAATCGCCTTCTTTGTATTCGAGTCAGATTTTTTTTAATGTGCATTCGTGTGGAACAGCGTGATGCTAAACCTTAAAAAGGTACATCGAGTTCAACATCCTGGATCCCAGATACCTGTGGGAAACCCGCAAGCAGCGGCCGTCTCCCGCTGTTGTCCCCCAGTGACCGATACTCTCTGAACGTCTGACACAGCCAGCCACTGATAGCCTTACCCACCATAGTTTGCTGAACCCTTAAAATAAATTAGCAGCGCAATGCTCTTTATCTGTCTGCTCTGAAATAAGTCCCATTAAGTTCAGTGGCACTCACTCTCGGATATATTCTAAACCGCCCTGTAATTCTGTAATTTTCAGATGAAGAGCGGTTTAGAAATTTAATAAATAATAATAAAACAATAAGCGTGCGCAGGAATCTTAAGCAGCAGAGCTAAAGCGGCCCATCAGTCAGCAAGCTGCAGCGATTGGCTCGTCTTCTCTCTCTCTCTCTCTCTCTCTCTCTCTCTCTCTCTCTCTCTCTCCCCATGGCTAGCCCAGCTATATCAAGTCCCTTTTAAAAAGGCAGGATTCAGAGGAGGCTTCCGTTTGTCAACATCATTCATTTCAGATCATCATACAGAAAAGAGGGTTTTTGTTTTTTGTTTTCAAATCCACACCGTCCTTCTCTCCTCTCCTCCCTAAACTGTTTAACCAGGAGGGAATGTTTAGCTAAGCGTAAGGAACAGTTTCTGACTGGCTGTGTGCGTGTGTGCAAAACTTGGATTTGTTCTCGGCAGATATCTGGCCAGACAGAAGAGGATGCAAATCCAGTTTACAGCATTATGCGCCCTCATTAAAATAAAGAAAGTGCGCCTCTCGCGCAAAACCCTCTCCTCCTCCTCCTCCTTCCTGGCAAAGCCGGCCTCGTTCTCCATTTAGATGATTACCAGCCAGCCAGCAGCCGAGCAGGCCTCCCCTCTCCCTGGTGCTTTCGCATCGTCGTTCCAGCAGCAGCTACCATCTCGCTCCCTCCCTCCTCCTCCTCTCCTTCCACGCGAAGAGGCTGCTCTCTTGTAAAGCAACCGAGGCGAATTCGTAGCGAATGGGGGGGAGGTCAGATCGTGATCCGTCTGACTTTCTCTCAGCCAGCGCTGCTTCTTCTTCCTCGGGCTTTGATGGGAAGAAGAGGCAGAGAGCGGCTCCTTTTCACAGGCGGAGTGGGAAGGAGGGAGGCAAGACAAATCGCCGTTAAGGTCCAAGGAGGAGAAGTCACGATTCAAGCGCACCATAGTAAAATACAATATTTCGATTCGATTTTCAGAGCACTTTGTGGAGTTATACCCGCCAACGCTGTCAGCGCAATCCTATGTAGGTTGACTCTGAAGAAAATCCCACTGGGATTAATCAGTGGGATTTATGAACCATCTGGTGGTTATACAGTTTACTCGTGTGTGTAGAATCATTAAGTTGGCCAGAAGCATACAAGGAGGAATGGTTGTAATGGGAATAAAGGGCTTCCGAAACGAAGCCCCTGAAGACAGATTCTTCACTTGTACCCACTACCTACATAAGTGCTGGCCTCATTATTAACATTTATTTATATAGCACCATCAATGCACAAGACGGCTGTACACAATCAAAATAAGAATTCTACCCCAAAAGGCGTACAATCTACTACAACAAAAAGAAGCATTACAATAAAAAGCAATCGCTTACTGTGGGGTTTGCAGCCAAATCACAAATACAGTACGAGTTTTGCCAGACAAGCACAGGGCTGGTACACAGAAAGCTCCTAAACTTCCTAGAGAGGACCCTCTGTGTGTGGCCACTTCCTCGGCCACCTCTGGGCCGGAAGTCTGTAACAAACGAGATCCTTTACACTACCTTCCATCTCGGTTTTTTCCGCCATGCTTCCAAACTTTTTCAGACTTGTGTCTGAGGGATCCAAACACATGCAGCCTATTTTGAAGCCAAATTTATATTTTAAAGCCGAGAGGTTTTCTTACTTGAATTTGCTGCCTGCATTGAAATTTAAATAAACATTTTATGTTTATCTTACAAAAAATGTGTGGGTCAGTTTCTGCAATGGGGGTGAAGAGGGGGAAATCAGCAAACCAGAAAAGGGGTAAATATGTGTATTTGCTTAATTCCTAAGCTTTAGTAAGCTGTAAAATGTATGTGTTTTACTCTGCTAAAATACTTCACAGTCCCCTTACTTTTTGTATTTCTCCTACATATTTGTGGGAGGTTTAAATTTTAATCTACAGATTTAAACCTCAAACCATCTCCTACATTTAATAATAATAATAAAAAAAATTTATTTATATCCTGCCCTCCCCAGCCGAAGCTGGGCTCAGGGCGGCTAACAACAATAAGTGGACAATTCACATACTTAGCATCTCAGGGAACCACTGAAAAACAAAACAAAATATTGTGCTATATACCATAATTTATTTACACATTTTTTCTCAGATGTGAAAGTCATTTTCACTATTAAAGACATGATATAGCCAAGGTTTAGTACGTCTGATGGAAATTATTTCAGTAGGAGATATTTAAGCATGCATGTCTTCAACTTTCTCATTGAAATTGTTGGGGCTTAAAGTGTTTCTATTTGAGTGGATTGTGAATACAGGAACACAGGAAGCTCCCTTATACTGAGCCACCCACTGAGCCATCTAGCTCAGTACTGTCTACACCAGGGACGTCCAGCTCCCAAGAAACTGCGATCTACTCACAGAATAAAAAACTGGCAGTGATCTATGTACCCCTTTTTTTGGAGGGGAGGGGGTTTAGGTTCGCAATCATCCTGTTGGACATCCCTGCTCTACACTGACTGGTAATAGCTCTCCAGATTTTTCAGGCAGGAGATATATTCCCAGTCTTACCTCACTTCAAGATGTAAGTAGGGACCTTCTGCATGCAAAGCAGATGTTCTACAACTGCCCTCATTTTCATCCTTTTTAAATGAATTAGATTAATGAGTATATTCATGTTTTACAGAATGATCTTGTGTTGACATAGCGCTGGTAGCATTTCACCCCCTGGTTTAGTAGTTTCAGTTCTTCATTTGGAAAATACAAAGAATCGCTTCAGCAGTGTGCTTTTTGCCATCTTATGCCAGCCACTATGGAGCAGAACAGGGTGCTGAGGTATGTGTGAGTGTCAGCAGTGACTAACAGGGCAAGTGCATGTTGAAGGATTAAAATAAGAGAGCTTGAGGCATGGAATAAGGTCAAGAAAGGGTTTCTAGATAATGGCAGCCTCATAGAAGTCACAAAGCAAGCAATTAGACCAGCATCTTCAGTTGAGCTAATAGCGCAAGAGAGTGTGAAAGGAAATAGAAATTGACGCAGGAATGTTCCATACCAGAGAGGACTTAGTAGGCAAAAAGAGACAACCTGAACAGAATATAGTAGAAATAAAGAAAATGTGTATAAATGTTTTTTTTTTAAAAGATTTCACAGTGGTTGCAATGTGCAGTTTGATGTAATGAATATGTAAATTTGAATTTTATCTGGTCCCATGGCAGTGACTGGGGAAAATCCAGTTGTAGTTCCCATATGAGATGGGTTATGAACTGGACAGTTTTTCAGCAGGACTTTGGAAAGCTTGAAGAATGTCCAAGTACTGATTGGGATGTTCCTGGGACCTTCTACATAGTGGAGGAGCTGCATGTCCCCTTTGCTCCACCACACAGGTGACATAACAGATGTGAACATAAGAAGAACATAAGAAAGCCCTGCAGGATCAAATGAGGCCAAAGGCCCATCTAGTCAAGCATTCTGCTATCTCAGTAGCCAACAGTGGCTGTTGTGTTGAGATTCGGCTTGTGGGCTTCGCATAGGCGTCTGGTTGGCCTGAAAACAGTATGCTGGACTAGATGAACTATTGGCCTGATTCAACAGGCTCTTATTATATTTACTAACTGGAGAAAGCAGTATGTCCACTCAAAACCTTTGCAGATGCAAACAACATTGAAAGCAGCATTGTGTGTATAACCAAACTGATACCATCATGAACACAAATCATCATGAGGATACAATAAAAAGAACGCATGGAGGGGCCCAATAATTGGGCCTGACACCATTTTATGCATATTGGGGTCCCTGTATATGCCTTTGTCATCCGAAAACTTGAATTGTGAAGCCCAATCCCAAATATCTCTATCCTTCCTATGCCAGCAGGAACCTAAACATCTAGAGGCAAAACTATGGTAGGAGCGGGCTAAGTTATAGATCTAGTCATGGGAGGGAAAAGAATGTGCTAAAGTGAGCAGATTTGAAGGAGAACAGCAACTTTCAGGGTTGTAAGGGGGAAAGGGAAATAGGAAGCTGCCAATGACTAAGTCAGGCCATTTTAGTCCATCTCAACTCAATATTGTCTGCTAGACTCAGAAGCTTGCTTTCTGTGTTGTGACATTTTGGTTGGCCATAATAGAGGGACTTTTTGTTTTTTCCAGTTGCCAATTTGACTCTTAGCCCTCCATGCTAATGTAACCTACCTCTTCATCTGCTTAGCATATTTGGTGGGTTTCTCTCTGAGGAAAAGTTGTTCATTTGGCATGCAGAGGATTGGTGAATAGCACCTCAAGAGATGATGTCATCATATTTGTAATCAGTGGTATATGTGCCCATCCCTCCTCCAGTACACCACTGCACCCTTACAACATGGATAGCCAATGTGATGCCCTCAAGATATTATTGGACTCCAATGCCCTCCAACCCCAGACAACGTGGTCAACTGATTTATCTATCCTTAGTAGACTTATTTCTGGTTTATTGTAATTGAATATAAACTACTGTGTTTATTATTATTACTAAATTTATATGTTGCTTATATGCTATAATGGCTTTTAAGTGGCTTACAAGCATAAAAGCAAGTATAAAATCCATACATAATTAAAACAATTCCACAAAATAATTCTATAAATCCATTAAATGCCCATATTTAAAATATACAATAAACTATGACAATTAAAAGTATGACAATTAAATAGTTAGAAAGCAATTAATACAGTTGGATCAAGAAGTTCAAGTTCATGGAAATGCTTGCCTAAACAAGACCTAGCAGAATGACAGTATGCATGCAGCCTCTCATATTTCAGAAGGGAGGGCATTCCACAATAGTGCTGCCAATTGTATCAAATTGTAAGGGAAACGGCCTTGCTAGAAAAAACTAACCAATAAACTGAAACTGACATGGGGACAAACAGAAGAGGACGCTTTCACCCCAATATGGCTCCCCTTTATCACATAAACAGCTGAACAAGACAACGACAAGAACCAGTGAAAAAGCCTACCTCTAAGTAACCACAAGCCAATAAACATCAGGCCTTGGGAAAACTAGACAAGCCCCATTTGCTAATCTGGATGCCCTTACTTGGCAGTGGAAGGGGAAATAGTTTTTCAGGAAACTTGATTGAGTGGCTAATAAACAGCCAGTGCAGATTCCTTAGCACTGTGATTTGTGATATCCCTTAGTGTGACATGTGGGACCCTGGGACACTTAATTTCCCATTGACCAGGTGAATAAGTAAGTTTTTATCTGACCAGTAGTGAGAAGGATAACCATATTTTCCCAGGGAGTGAGTTCCAGAGGTCTAGATGGTACCACTGAGAAGACCCTTTTCTTGTGTAATCACACCATGAGCCACTTCTAGTAGTGGAGCCATGAGCATTTTCCTTTTGGGTAGACAGACAGACAGACAGAATAATGCTGATGACAGGGATGCCTTGTTTATAGTAATCTGTAAGCTGCCCTGGGAGCCTTTATTAAATTTTAGGGCTATTTTTAAAAGTAAAAAGAAAATCCCATTAAAATTATGAATTTATCTGGGTTTGTTACTCAGTTCACATTCAGTCAAGGACCTCAATAGCTGCAATATGATGTTCATATTTAAACATCACCTGATATGATATGATGTTCATGTTTCCGACACCTGTACTTTGCTTTGGCATTTTTATATGTACAGTTAAAATTACCTTAGGTATAAACATCTAAAAAACACAAAGGGTGAAGCAGTCAGTGTGGCAGGCTCAAGGACAGGGAGCAAGCTTTGATTTAGAACTCTTGATGTTTACATGGCTGAAATTCCCTTATTGCAGGAACAAGTCTATCAGCTTCTGACCCAAGAAGCATGTGTGCGCCATCCTAGCCCCTTCTGGCAGCATGTTTGGTTCAGTGGCCATGCAGCTATTATCTCTCCACCCACAGCTGCACTAGCTCCCTCTCCAAGATGGATAAAACCCAGAGACTGGAAGCAAATGCTCCAGCAAGCAGAGTTCACTGAAGAAGCATTTTGACACAGAATTTACTGGCGTGCCATTGAAAACTGGCTGCCACCAAACTCTGACCTCTTTCCTGACAGCCATTCCACCCACAAGCATACAGAAAATGAAATCACAGGGCTTGGGGGTTAACCCTGTAGGGAGACTGCAAGGTCTTTGGGCTTGAACCAAAACATTTTGCATTACCTTTGTGGTCAATGACAAGAATGACATCTGCCACTATGAATGTTGAAGAGATCCGCAATGGGAAGACATGAGAATCATCCTGCTCCTATCAAAATGTGGTATCTAATGCAGAGGTTGTTATTATTATTATATTTTAATATGAATTTTAAAAAACTTACCAGAAGATGCTTTTCTCTCATTAGACTATTTATGTTACAATATGTAATCACAGGGATTGAATTCTGTGTTTCTGTAAACAGCAATACAAGCATCAGAGTGCTGTGGTGTTTGCAGAATAATGGTGCTGGACTTGAAATAACACATAGACTGAGCCACCATAAATGATTTTCAGAGAAATGTCACATGTTCAAACTTCATTTTGTGCTGCTGCTGCTTCTGTTTGTCTGCTATTTCCTTTAGTTAAAGCCTTTTATTTTCTTTGGACACACATCCAATGTATGATGTGCTGTCTTAAACTTTTATAAACACCTAGTTTCATGCATGGCCTGTTTTCAGGCAACTCTCACTGCATCATACATTTTGTGGTCTTCAAGCTTCCACCTTTACAATTCTATGATTCTATGACTCATATCACGGGTCCAATCCAGTTCAGTACTGACTACACGGACTGGCAGCAGCTGTCCAGGATTTCAGACAGGGGCTTCTCCCAGCTCTACCTGGAGATGCTGGGGACTGAACCTGGGACCTTCTGCATGCCAAGCAGGTGCTATCCCACAGAGCTAAAGCCTTTTTCTCACCATGCTTATTACCCACCACCCTTTCTGCAACAGTAATTATGGCTGTTTTGAAGAAGGATTTTGGTGACATTATTTTGGCCACCATCCCATCAGGGCCTAATTAGGTCACCTAATTTGGTGTCTGCTATTTTTAAAATAATCTTTCTTCCCCCCCCCCTTTCTTCTCAGAAGCTGTCAGGAACATTTGCTGGTCTGGCAAGTTCCACAGTGGAGAGAGAGGCCTGTACCTTCTTCTCCCTCTTGGCAGGGCCCGTCTCTTTCATGCCCTCCGCTCCTCTGGGCCAGCCCCGCCGAAGCAGCGTCCTCTCTCTCTCCAGGAGGAGAGTCCAGGCGGGTGGAAGGCCGAGCACAATGGAACCTGAGAATTTCTGTCACTCTCCGCATATGGCCCGAAGTGCTTTAATCCCAATTAGGGGCGGCTGACACACGGTCCTATTCATCCCCCTCAGCTCTTGAATACATTTGCCTAGAAATGAACTTCGCCCATAGAGGCGCCGCTAAATGTGCCCAACAGCAAGGAAAATCGAATTGAGGCCTGCGCTCAATTGGAAGGCGAGGGCGGGAGAAAAGGTATGAATTTATAAGGTACACCGAAACATTGCGATTCAGCCACAAGTCGGGTGACTTTTCTTTGCACCCTGTCAACCGAAAGAGCCGGGAGATAAGTGGGCTGAGGGGGGCGGGGGCGAAGGGAGGAGGAGGGCGGACGAGAAAAAAAGCAACTTTTTCCACAGACTTTGAATAAGCCAGGATAGGCCTTTCCCCCCTTTTGAAAGTGGTTGATTGTGCGCGCCTTGAAATACGCTCGCCTCCCTCCAGGCATTCCAGCGGGGCGACCCAGCCTTGAGCGCGTCCATTTCACAGAGGAGGGGGGGCGAGGCGGGCTGGAACTAAAGGAAGATATTTTATTTTAAAAAATAATCATGGCGTTTTCCACAGGCCCCCAAGGCGCATTGAGACTCTGACTCTCTCTTTCTCATTCTGTCTCTCTGGGAGTTGCCAAGGCAGGGCTCTCGACAGCCCAGGCCGCGATCGTGTCATCTGCCGGGGTTCCCATAGAAGCCTAATTACTATTCAAAAGCTGCTCCAATATCCCACCCGCATCTTGTCTGCCCCGCACAGCTGGTTGGGGGCCTCGGAGGTTCGCCTCCCCTCGCCCAGCCACCAAGCGAGACCTGGTCGCTTTACACAATCGGCTGCCTTTTTTTCTTTATTCTTCCGTGCAACAAGATCTCGATTCTCGGGCCTCTTTTCTCGTTTTGTAAAATAAATAAATGAATGAATTAGGAGTACTGTAAATGAAAGGAAGCCACCAACTCGAAAGGAGAGAGAAGCACTGTTAACAAAGCGGGGCTTAATTGGATTTGTCGGCTTCTTCTTGGGCAGAGCAGAGGGGCAGCAGTGAAGCTGGAGGGTGGGCTGGGTGCAGGCAGAGTCCAGAATGACGCTTCCAGGATTTAGGAAACACTTCCCCCCATCCTCCAAAAAAAAACATGTCTTTGAAATGAATGGCAGATCTTGGCACTGGTCACAGATAGCAACGTGTGTTACTTTGCTGACTTCAGAATTTGGGAAGCCAGCCCTGTTGCATTTTGGGCTCCCTTATGCGAAGTGAGGCCCTGGACATCTCCGCTAAAGTCGCCCTTTGACGGTGCCACTGGAGCTCAGAGCCGCCCGTGGAATCCTGAGGTGGCCAAGTGACCTGTAACACTTAAGGCTGCAGGTGTGTGTGTAGATGACACTGTGGAATCCACCCCCTAAAACAGAGCAAAAACCCAACAACCCCAGTGTTATCAGGAAGAGTAGTGCTAGGGCTGATTAGCCACAGTCCTCTTCTATATCTCTGAGGGCAGGGATTTCAGGGAGACCTGGGCACCTCCTCTAGTCAAGATGTTAGCCACAGAATGCATGCCCTATAGCCAGGGGTAGGGAAAGTTTTTGAGCCAGAGGACCATATTCACCATATTCACAATGGGCAAGATTCTGAGGGACACATGTCAGTGGTGGACAGGGCCAGAGGCAAACTAGGGCAGATGTTTCAACACCCACCCGTACATCTCTCTATCCTTCATCTAGGCAAGCAAGAGGCCTTCTGTTAGTTGGAAGGTCACATTTCAACCAGACAATAGGGAACATAGGGAACAGCCTTATATAGTGGTACCTCAGATTACATACACTTCAGGTTACATACGCTTCAGGTTACACACTCCGCTAACCCAGAAATCTTACCGCAGGTTAAGAACTTTGCTTCAGGATGAGAACAGAAATCGTGCTGCAGCGGTGCAGCAGCAGCAGGAGGCCCCATTAGCTAAAGTGGTGCTTCAGGTTAAGAACAGTTTCAGGTTAAGAACAGACCTCCAGAACGAATTAAGTTCTTAATCCAAGGTACCACTGTACAGTGTCAGACCATTGTTCCACCTCTCTAGCAAGGGCTCTCAGGTTTCAGATAAGGCACATTCCCAGGCCTACCTGGAGTGGCTGGGAATTGAACACAGGACCTTCTGAATGCAAAGCAGATGCTCTATCACTGAGCTACAGACTTTCCCTAGGGAGGGCATAGAGTAGGGCGGGGGCCTATGAGGGGTGTGGCCTGGGAAGGGCCCAGGGGTCAGATAGATCTGAAGGGGCATATTTGACCCTAAGCCTCTGCTTCTCCACTCAGCCCCTGCCCTTAACCTAAAGCACACCTACTATATCTGAAAGAGAATATGTTTACATGGTCAGATGGCATGACTTTTGGGCTTTCCTCTCTGTGGCCTAAGCCTTAGCATTAGGGAGGTTTAAATGAATTACTGGGTGGTGTAGTGGTTAGACAGACTAGGTCAGACAGACTAGGACCTTGAAGATGAGAATTCAAATCCCAACACAGCTATGAAACTCATTTAGGCCAGTCACTGTCTCTGAGCCTAACCTACCTCACAGGGTTGTTGTGATGATAAAAAGTAGAGGTGGAAGAACTATGTATGTCACCTTGAGTTCCTTGGAGGAAAGGTAGGATAGAAATGTAATAAAACAAAACAAACAAAATTGTCTTAAAACTTGTTTTCAGGGGCCCCCTGCTGCCGCAAGTGAGATAACAGAGACGTGTCCTGAGCATGTGTTGAGTGCCTTCCTCTTATAAAGTAACTGCAACAGGCCACACTTATCTAAGATGAGAGGCAGAGAGCCTAGTATTCATGTAGGCTTCAAACCCAGCATTATCTCATTTTAAAAAATTCACAACTGTAAGAAGAGATAGGACAAAAAGAATGAAAAAAGCTATTGAAAGCTTTATAGGTTTTAAACGGTCTCCACTAAATAGTTGTCCCAGTGAAAGCTTCTTTTCATCTTACCTCTATTTAAGAATATAATTCAAGGCAACAATCCTCAGACTGTTTACGAAGAGTCAAGTGTCGCTAGTCAAAAGCAAATTACACGGTTGCTATCCTGGGAGAGAGTTCTCTCTGTCTCTCTTTTAACCCAGGGGTGGGTAGCGATATTCTCTCAAGGCCCTTCCCCACTAAAAGCAATATATATTTAATTTACACAGCCACGAGGAACAGAAACTTATTTTTGATTCAAAAATAAAATCTGGCATTGAGAGGATTCTCTCCCGAAAGAATCATGTCAAGGCTGATCTTGTGTATGAAAATGCCGGTTTAGAAGGGAATACACATAAACTTGCAGTGGATAAACTGATTAGGGGTTAACTGAATTTACTCTGGTAAAAAGTGGTGGCTATTTTGTGTGTGTGTAAATTGTAAATTGACTTGTAAATTGACTCCGATCAGATGCCATGCGGAATGCTCTTTAGCCCTTACACCATTTATTCTCACCGGCCATAACAATCCAATTGACTTTACTCAGATTGTGGGGAGGAGAATGAGCGGGTGTGGGGAATAAATGGACTGGAAAGACGAAGATGCTGCAAGATTCCAGGGAGCTGATTTTGACTGAAACACACCTTTCTTTGAGCAGGAACGAGGTCCTGCCTTGGGGAGAGAAAATAGGCTGCTCCGTTTGCACTGGGAGAATCTGGGCCACTGAATGAACTTGCAGCATTTCTTTCTTTCTCTTTCTTTCGTTCCCCCAACGTTTTTTTGTTTTGTTTTGTTTTGTTCAAGCATCCACTGTGTTTCTTTCCCCACAGCATAATGGAGCTGGCCCTGTATACAGGCATTCATGCTGGTTTGAATGTAATGTTGAACCTTCTCAGTGCTGGAGCGGTTTGATGGTTTGAATGGAGCTCCCTGGTGGGACATTGCTAGGCGCAACTGTGCCTCTTTGGACGCCTGTTGTTCCTTAACATTCATGCCTCATTATGGGGCAACCTGTTCAAGCCAAGAGAGAGCCAGTCCTGAGCCAAAGCCTTCCCTCGGGGGCGTTGGCAGTTCAGAGAGAGAGAGAGGGAGGGAGGGAGAGATTGAGGGAGAGGGCTAAGGAGGGGGGGGGGGGTAAAAATCTCTTTTGGTCGCTGGGCAAAAGTGGTTTCCCCCTTTTAACTGGTCTTTCCAGCGGCCCAGTTGAAGTGTCTCAAAAGGGACTAGTGGAATGTTTTGACTCTCAACATTGTCTCGGAATAAAGCTAGAAGCATGTAATTAATGTGTCCTTTTAATAAGGGACAATAAAGCCGTTCAAGCTATTTAATTTCATTTAATTTTCCATCCCATTTGCTTCCAAGGCTCCTTTTACCCATTTTTTTTTTTAAACCCAGCCTTTCATGGCGTGGCTTGCTTCAGTGGGCACGTTAGATCGATTTCAGCCTGCCTTTTTAGGGATTGGGGGGAAAAGGAGATAGACAAAAATCAAAGCAAACGTGTCTCCTTCCCTTTTTTTTGGGGGGGGGGAGACCAGTTATTGTAACTAAAAGAAGCTTCCAGGCAACTGAGCCACAGGAACGGAACAAAATAAATATAATAAAATAAAAATAAAATAAAATAAAGCCAACGTGCGGGGCCGCTGCCATCCTTTCCAGGGGTTGGGAGACGAGGTGTAACTTGGATGTACATGCGGATATAGAAAGAAATGGTTTTGTCTCGCAACCGACCAGCTGTGGGTTGCTTTCCGTCGGAGGCTTCGCGTGGCGCTCGCGACTCCAGCCGGCCGTGGCGAGGCTGCCCCACTAGAGCAGAAGGGAGCTTCTACCTTTCCCCTTTGACGCCTCCGACCAGTGCCCTGGCGGCCGGCGGGCGGGTCAGGAAGGGTATATTTCAACCGGTTGTCACCCCGAAGCCGGCAGGCCAGAGGTTAGACGGACTAGTCCTTGGCTTGAATTTATTGCTCTCCGCTTTTTGTTTCGCCCTTTGCTTCCCATTCAGGATGCGGACCGCAGGGGTCATCTTCAGTCTTCGGTCCCGGCCACCGCCCCCCTCAGAAGCCTCTGCAACAGCCCAAACGATCCCTTCTCGAGAAAGCACCGATCCAATTCCACCTGACCCAGGAAAGAAAGGATTGCTGAACTCGGGTCGGTACAAAGGCCGTTTTTAGTCAGGTTCCCCCAATCCACATCTCTCCCCTCATCCAACATCACCGTTTGTCGTTCCCAAACTCATACTTGCTAGAAAAAGTATATATATTCGATTTGAAATTGGGTGGGGCGAGGCGGGGGGGATTCTTAGGCTTTCCAGTCTGCAGCATCGGCGACTTGCCTAAGTGACACATCTCGAGCCAGATGCTACGATCGCAAGCGCGCTTACCTGGGAGTAAGCCCCATTGAATTCAATCGGATCTCCTTCTAACTGGTCGTATATAGAATTGCGCTGGAAGGCTTCACTCCACAAACACATTTATTAGGGAGAAAGATCCATGCGACAACATGGAACTTACTACTGAGTCAACATGAATGGGCTTGTACTCTGTGAAAGACACTTTTGATAGCCCATACTATCTGAGACTCTTAATCTCAGGGTCCCGTGCTCGAGATCCAGGTTGGGCAAAATATTCCTGCTCTGTAGGGAGCTGGACTAGATGATCCTCGTGGTCCCCTCCAACTCTACAATTCTATGATTTCCGAAAACTGGATTTGTCAATACTACTTAAGTCCTATTCAATGGAGGGCGAGTGACATGGATTTTGGGTTGTAAAGCAGTCTAGTCCTTCCTTGGAAGCATCTCCATCCCAGAAGGACAGCCGTGTCATTCCCCGGGGCATCAAGGAATATTGTAGCTGCACCTTCCAACACATCACGCAGTGTTATTCTGACAATATTTTTAGCGCCCAGTTCCTGAAATGCCTTTAGGTTTTCCAGCCCACTAAATGCAAGTCAAACAGGGGTGGATAACTTGTGCCTCGTCAGATGTTGTTGGACACCGACTCCTATGCCTTGGAAAGCATTAGGATTTACTTCATTCACTAGGGTCTACTTCAATGTAAATTTATTGGTGCCAGACCAATTTCCTCTTCTGGTCATTTGCTCCGACTTCATTGAGATACTGTATCTAGGTAGCTGTTGGCGGAGCAACCTGATCCCGTGGGCGTTTCCTCAGAAGCAAGCCCAAATGAGCTCAATGGAGCTTGCTTCCAAGTGAGCACCGATAGGATTGTGGCTGTCGTGTGTGCCTTCAACCCCACATTTTAGAGCAGGGGTGGGGAACCTGTGGCCCTCCAGATGTTGGGTTCTGACATCCACTAGCCACAGCCTGCAGAGCCAACGACCAGGGGTGATGGGGCATTGTAGTCCAGCAATATCTGAAGGGCTACAGATAGCCAACCGGGACTACAACTTCCATACACCCCCGACTGTTGACCATGCTGTCTGGGGATGATGAGGGTTGAAATCCATTGGTAGCGTTAGTTACCCTTGGTGTAGAGGCACAGCATCCATAGGAAAATCCCTGGGGATCTTTTACTGGGGTTCTCACCACATTGCATGAAAGGAAGTATTCTTGAAATTCAGATATAAACCTAAGCAGAACTCATCTCTTCCTTATACGGCCCCCGAAGTTGCACTCTACACCATTTGGCTAGGAGTAAGCTCCATTAAACTTAATGGGGCTTACTTCTGAGTCAGGGTATAGGATTGTGTTGTAAATTACTTACACTTCACAAAGCCTCTGTGAGTTTCTACAAGGAAACCTTTCTTGATTTTTACCTTGGGCAAACTACCATGCGTTTCTGTTATGTAAATGCTTAGGAAATATTTTTGATGTAAATATAGGACAAACGAGTGAATTTGCATGAAAGTCAGCTTCAGCTTCCGAGTGCTAGGCGGAGATGAATGAAAGCTACGGAGCTGAATAGAACCTGCACAAATGAAGTGTCACGTTAATGTTTTCATTAACTGCAGAGAGTTAGAGCCAGGCTTAGGCAGCAGTTCGGAGCACACTTCCTAGCAAGGAGTAGGACTCACCGAACTCAGTGTAACTGACTTCTAGGTAAACATGCAGAGGATCGCGCTGTTAAAGTTGTCCGATCCATAAAGAGTTTCAGGAAGCAGCAGCACATGAGCTGATTTAAATTCTGGTCGGGTGACATTCTGCTGAAATCAATAGATAGTTGAAGGTTATCCATATTTACACGGAAGTATATTCCACTGAATTCATTTGGCTTACTCCCAAGTAAGCGTCCACAGGATTACCGTCCGACAACCCAGGCGGTAGGCGGAAATGAGTTCGACTGAGCTGAATAAATTCGACTTACTCCCGAATAAATAGGTTTAGGGCTGTAGACTTAATTGTGTGCAAGGCCATCAGAGTACGATCCAGTCATGTTTTAGGTCCCAATGATTTCGAGGGGGTGGAGGAGGAGAGGGGCATAAATAAATGCATGCTTTTAATGCTGTAATGGAAACCAATGTGCTGTAAAAGTGCTGTGTCTCTTCCTTTGCATTTAAAGGGAATAATGCCCTGATCAAAATGCTACTTGAAAGTAAGTTCCATTCATTTCATTTGGACCTACCTTCCAGTGAATGTGTAACCACCAGCCTGCAAGGCGTCATTGCTTTATCAAATGTGTTGTACTTAGGCTGTATTGAGCTTGACTCCAAATAGGGAAAGTGACAGAGGATCTGCTTTTCATCTAGAAGGTCCCAGGTTCAGCCCCTAGCATCTCAAGGCAGGGCTAGGAGAGCAGTAGAAAATACCACGACTGTTCCAAGACATGTTGGCACCTGAGACGAACTACAAAATGACACTTTCCATCCCCGCCAGGGAAGGAGAGAGTGAAGAACCTACATCAGGGACAAGGGGAGGCGGGACTTAAGATCTAAATAGGGATCTGCTGCCCCTGTGGATCCTGCCACCCGAAGTGGTCTCCTCACCTTGCCTCATGGGTGGGCCGGCCCTGGAAAATACAGAACTAGATGGGCTAATGATCTGAATCAATTCGTATGCTCCGGCTTCATCATCTGACTGTGGATTTGGTACAGTCTATCCAAGGCCTCGGATGTAGATCTCTGGGTCTGTTTGTCGTGGTGCTTAAAGCAACGTGCATCTCGCTACAAACTGTGCGAGTGGGCTAGGTGACAGTCTGCAAATTCACTGCTTGTGGGGGAAAAGAAAACTCTTTGGAATCTATTCCCATTACTAAAGAAGCGTGGAAGGAGCTAGTAAGTAGCAAATTAATGATCCAGTCTGTAACCCTATAAGAATACTTAACTGGGCAGACAATGGACCCCACTTCTTTAGAAGCATGTGTAGGGTTGCCTTCCAAGGCTACAACATTATGCTCATAGATATGGGGAGTAAGGTCCCATTGGATTTAATGGGACTGCATCGAAGTAAATTTGCACAGAAACAGACCACACACCTTCCGTTCCCGTTATGAAAACTTTAAGGGAAGGCAGTAAACTCTGGCCCCTCCAGCCTAAACACTCGAGGAAGTGCGTTCCATTTATTTCGGTGGGCTAAGACTTTGCTGGAACTTTGCAATCATCTCACCGCTCTGGGTTTTAAGTTCTCGGCTTTTGTCATTTTCTTGAATCGATTCTTGTTGCTGGAGGACCAATTCCTGGTTAGTTATGAAGTCTCATGATTCTTGCTCACACTTACACATTTTGTTAATGTCAGTGGGTCTCTGCATAGCTTGAGCAAAAGATTCTCTTTCCCCCCAATGCAGAAACAGGTGAAATAGTACGATGACCACGTGCATTCTGCCACCGTGTTTGTGATGGCCTCATTCTGACTCAAAAGCTATCGCCTCTCATTTCAACATGACTTTCCTCTAAGAAACTAAATCTAACAAGCCAGCACCCCCTCCCCCATAGTAGCCCTGCGACTCAATCCTCCGCAGAGATAATCCCCTTTATTTAGTGGGCCCCAGCTAGTGTGTGCATAGGATTGCAGCTGTAGCCGTATTTATATCAAATCCAATCTCAATGATGTTCAAAGTATCTCCTTGCAGATAAGTATTTTACGAGTTTTGGCTTATTTCTTCCGTCCATCCTCTCTGCCTTTCCTCTGGGATGTTTTATCTTCACCCAGTGAATAAATATGGACACGAACAAGTACGTATTCGGATTATTTCGTCACCACTCCTCATCATTCCCCCTCTCTTCTGGATTTCTTAAATAAATTCTTGTCCGTCTTTGGAAATCCCATAGAGCACATGGGTTGCGTTTTGTTCTAGGCCTGTTGGAATGTGAGTGCTACTTTTCTATTGAAAGTTAAAAAAAAAAAAAAGAACCGGACCACAACAATCTTTGTAGCTTAGCGACCTATATCGGGGTCGGAGAATGGATCCAGGGATTGAAAAACGGATCCGTTCCGCGAGACTCCTGCATGAACTTCCCCTGTGTATTGTTTTGTGCGCTCGTGCGCCTTTTTCGCCCAATACAAGGCGCTTCCTTCGATAAGCCGAATAAAACTATTTCTAGAGAACTTCCAAACGCGAAGCTTGCTGCTTTCAACTCAGGGCGAGGATTTCTCTGTTTTACGCAGTTAAAAGCAGCAGAAAAATGAGAGTTGAGGAACCAAGCCGTTGTTGCAAAGGGATTTCTCGGCTCCAACCAACCCACTGAATTGGTAATATGGCAGCGTCCCCGTCCCCCCTCTTTTTTAAAGTGTAGGTATTTTCTGGTGTTTTCCCATCAAGTACCTGCCCAATTTCTGTATGGCACACGCCAGGAATCAATAGAAGTTAACAAGTCCTCCAAACATCCCCCCCTAATCTCTTTGTTTAATCGCCTTTACAATCCAGCCCAAGGAAAGAGAATTAAAAATCTTTGAAGTCTCCTGGCTGACAAAAGGCTCAGCCAAGTAGACTTAAAACACTCCCTTCTTTTCCAAAACTGGTTTGTCGGGGAACAATCGAAGGAAGTAAAATTTATGGAGAAATTATACAGTGGATTTGTCACTTAAAATATCGTAACTGTCTCGGGGACAATCCCCCATGCTGAGGATTAATGGTCCCTCCAGACCTTTGATTCACCAGCGCCTTTTCTTTGCCCTTGACAAATTGGATTTTTAGGAATGGGAAGGTCGCCGGGGCCATTGTTGGCTGCCCCATTCAAAAAAGCCCTTGATTATGCGTTGGGGTGGGTGGGGAGAGAGAGAGAGAGGTTGGTGGATGGGGCGGGTGGGGGGTGGGTTAGGGAAAATCTCCATGTGACCCTCTCGGGTGGGACTCGGCAGCTGCTGCAAGAGCCACACTCTCTCATCGCCCCAACCCGGCGCCCTGGAGCACCGGCGGGCCGCGGGGAGAGCCCTCGTGTGGCAATTGAAAAGGCGGCGCGCACCGTCGGCCGCGTCACTTTGCGGGCGGAGATAACGCCGGTGCGGCTCAGCCCTCCTCGCTGCCTGCCTCTGCCTCTCTCGCTCTTTCTGCCTCCCTCTCTCCCTTCTGTCACTCGAAGAGAGTCCTGGGCGCCTTTCCCGATCGTCGCGTCTGTAACCCGGAGGCAGCGATGCAAAGTAGCCGGGGTCCGCCGGCGCTCAGCGTTACCGCGGAGAGCTGCATCCCGGCTGGCCTGCGCCTGGGTCCGGTGTCCGGCACCTTCAAACTGGGCAAGTACTTGTCCGATCGCAGGGAGCCGGGACCCAAGAAAAAGGTATTGCTCCCGCACCTTGGCGGAAAGCACTGTGGAGGGAGGGTGGGGGAAAGAGGGGAAGTGTCCGAGGGGCTGGCGCGCATCCTTGCGAGGGAATGTTTCCGCGGCAAAGTTATTTCTCTGTCCTCCTCCTCCGTTCATAAACGGGTTTGGGTGTCCACACGAAGCATCTCTGCTCTTCGGATCTTCACGAAGCCAAGAGGCTGCAGGGATGGGCAACCGCCTCTCTTTCAGACCTCTTCCAGGCCTTTCGGGGGAGATCTCTGACTTTAGATGACTTATTTGCGTGGATGGGGGGGACTGTGTTGAACCCTTCTGGATTGGACGTAGATGGGGAGGGGGAAGCTGGAAAAACGAGACAGCGGCGGGTCAACAGACTTACTGGTTCCCCCTCACTCCGAATTCTAGGAAATCAAATCCGGGTAAATCAAGGTAAATAGTTTGCTCCGGCTGATCCTCCACCCTGATACCAGAGTGGTGGATACGAAATCGGATATATATTCACAACACGAAATAAAATAATAATGAATGAATTAACTGGTAGCTCGACCCCTGTTGCCTGCGATGCCAGTTTCTTTTATTGAATGTACTATGTTTACCTTCTGTTTCAAGGTTCTTTTTTAACCTTAAAGTGGAAGAGGCAAAATAACAGTTAAGTGAAACGAAATCTAAAGGTTCCTAACGCCACCAGGTGAGATTTGCCTCTCATGCAGGATAAAACAACCGCAGAAAAACCTCGCCCGAAACAAAAGCGGCCTGCAGTTGAGATTTCAAGAAGGATGGCTGGATGGTGGAAGTTTGTGGGAGCGAAATCCACAGTCTTGCGGCTCCTTAAAGACTTGCGGATTTATTGTGGCTTAAGCTTTCCTGGACTAGAGTCCGTCTCATCACCTGCTTGAAGGTGACAGATGCACACACGCGCACAAGAGCGCGTCGATGTTTGTTTGTTTAGGGAATGCTGGGGCCTTAAGGCCATGAAGTGCAAGGGGGGCAATTGTAAGCTTTCCCCACAGGCATCTGTGCAGAACCCAAATGAATGCAAAGATAAGAGATGAAAACAGTCCTCCCACAGACCCCATGTCTGGAATGATCCAATTTATGAAGCACCCTTTTAACGCCGAAATTCTCGCGGGCTCGCCACAGTCACCGGCATTGTTGTTTTGTTTTGCTTTTAAAGAGGATTTCAGTCCATAAGAAACATTGACCAAGTAAAAGAGGATCGGAGCAATCGAGCTGATTTCCCAGCTGACTCCAAATGTTGATCACTGCTTTGGAGTGCTTTACAGAGAAGTCTCCAAAAGGAACCCCAAATAAGAAAGATTTGTTTGTGTGTATGGATTGCAGCCTTCGAGCATCCCCTCGGATGAGCTTAGCAGAAGGCAACTTTGTCTCCTTTCTTCCCCAAAGCGCAGAGGTTTGTCGTACGTTCCGCTCGGATTCTGAATGCCCTTTAATTGTTTTTAAACGCTCTGCCAGCCCCTTCAAATTTATTTCTCATCTGGCTCCGTTGGTTGCTCCCTTTAGGCTGCCTTTGTTACAGTGACTTTTATTGCCTGGTCATTCAAAGAGGTAGCCCCTCATTTGCTCGCTCTCTGTGTATGACCAAGCAGATTATGAAGGATGAGGCAAGACTCTGAGGCTCAACAGAGTTGCTCCTGTCCTCTTCCTCTTTTGCTCTCATCCTCTTTTTTATTATTTCTGATTAGATTATTCGTTAATTAATTGCCCTACAGGGGCTGGGAGCCTTGAAACTAGGTGTAGCCATTTCCCCCTCGAAGTAGGAAATTTAATGGTTCTTAAATATGTTCCCCTTCGACTTTTCAGGCTGCAGCCCTATAGGTCAGGGAAAGTGACAAGAAGCGGAAGAGAGTTTGAAGAAGGCTCTTTTCCCAACTAAGAGGGATTGTTTAAAGAGTTTATATAGGGCGTATGGGGATCACTGACCTCAGGGCAACTTACGCACTTATCTCACTTGTCTCACTTCGGAATGACATGGCATCGAGTGGAGGTGTCCCTTTATTGGTAGCTGCAATTAAGGTAAAGGTAAAGGACCCCTGGACGGTTAGCGGTTATGGGATGCGGCGCTCATCTCGCTTTTCAGGCTAAGGGAGCCGGCATTTGTCCACAGACAGCTTTCCGGGTCATGTGGCCAGCATGACTAAATCACTACTGGCGCAACGGAACACCGTGACGGAAGCCAGAGCGCACGTAAACGCCATTTACCTTCCCGCTGCAGCGGTACCTATTTATCTACTTGCACTGTTGTGCTTTTGAACTGCTAGATTGGCAGATGCTGGGACAGAGCAACAGGAGCTCACGGATTCGAACCGCAGACCTTCAGATCAGCAAGCCCAAGAGGCTCAGAGGTTTAGACCACAGCGCCACCCGCTCCCTTGGTAGCTGCAATTACGGAATATGGCAGTGAAGCCTACACACGTCGATTCAAACCCGAAGGACAACCTGGTCCACAGCTCTGGCTAAGTCTAACAATCGACTGCTATCTAAGTTAATTGGCACATTGATCCTAAAGACTATATATATATGTAGCAGTCACATCGACCGAAACTCCCCAACTTCGACCCACCTGGATTTAAGAGGATTTAAATCTCCCCCAAGACAATAAAGCCGTGAGCCTAAACATACTTACTTAGAAGGACTTTTCAAATGAAATAAAGGAGAACCAAATGAAAGAGTGGAGTTACGGCTGCAATCCTAGGAACGTCTACTTGGGAGTAAGAGCCCTTGAACGCAGTGAGGATTTGCTACCGAGTAAGCATGCACGTTCCAATTCCACAGAACCAGTCGCTTATAAAATAAGAAGGTGTCCATCCTCAAACCGTTTGCTAGGAGACCTTTGCCTCGTTCCGGATTAGTGCAGCAATGGCTGCATTTGGTTAGCCCTCTAACTCGTCTCCTGGCTGCTGCCTCCGACTAGGATCGAGCTGCGCACTGGTTCACCTCTCTCTCTGTTGATTGTGGGATCCGCTTCTCATGGAAACGATCAAACACAGAGAGAAATTAGACAAATAAGTTATTTTAATAGGTTATGGTGTGTGGGGGGGACAGGGATGTAACATTAGCGGTCTTTTTGTCTGTGGAGCTGCTCAGTACCAGCGAATGTTGTTCTGGCTAAATAAAGCAAGGACCTTGAACTGACTGGCGGTATAAATGACAGCCTCTGCTGTCCTATGTTCCAGGTGCGGATGCTGAGAGGGGAACTGGTGGACGAAGCCGGGGGCTCTGCTGTGGAGTGGATAGGGTTAATCCGGGCTGCCAGGCACTCGCAAGAACAGACTTTGGAAGCTATTGCAGATCTACCGGGCGGACAGGTACCTACAGCCTCCCTAACTCAGCTCTATGAGCCTTTTGGTCTCAGGGCTGGATAGATTGGCTTTGCAGTCTGGTCCCTTGACAGGCTCTATCTGTTCTCCTAGATTTTCTACCGGGCGCTGCGAGACGTCCAGCCGGGAGAGGAGCTGACCGTGTGGTATTCCAGCTCGTTGGCTCAGTGGTTTGACATCCCCACCACGGCTACTCCGACGCACGACGAGAAAGGTACGTACAGCACCTTGGCCAGCGACTTGCGCAAGGAGGAAGAGCCTCCCCACAGCGCTGCTCAACTAACTACGCGTTACAGTGAGAGTTTTGCTGTAAGCCCCGCTGAGTTCAATGGGATTTACCCACCAGTAAGTTTGGGATTTCAACCCCCAGATTCTTCTATTTGAACTTAAAGCGAGACGGAAGATATCAGCTGAGCCGCAGACCATCGAGTACTTGATACAGTTTAGGCGGAATGAACTTGAAAGTAAGCTCTGTTAAAGTCAACACTGGCTAATAAATTTGTGTGCGGGTGTCATTCAGTAGGTCGGTCTTATACCTTCTTCTAAACTCTAAAAACCAAACTACGGGGCAATTAATAAACTTGTCACAAACTTGGAAGTAAATCCCAGTGTAAACAGTGGTGGTTGTTTTTAAAAAGATCAAGCGAGCTGTTCGTTTGTGGTGCTGGATCTATATGAGACATGTTTGCAAATACATGCTGCTCAGCTAGATCCTGTGCATGCTCACTCGGAGAGAAGCCTCAATGAAGTTAATGGGGCTTACTCTCAAGTAAGTAAGATTGAGGGCTGATGTGCAAGAAGAACCCCAGTCATGCCAAGTACTTGGTGAAAGAAGTGGGGAAGGCTTAAATACGGCTGAACCAGGATTGTGGACCTGATTGCAATAAAAAGGCAGTATTGGACCACAGCTTAGAGCTAAGATAAAAGTAGCTTAAGTAGGTCAAACAAAAATATTTACTCCAGATACCGTCTTCCCAATGCGGTTGACCTTTCATTGGAATAGTTCTTGAGCTACGAATTTAGACCGTGGTAGAAGGGAGTTAGGACCCTGTTCCTGCTCAGCCTTTTCTTGCATGTGCACCGATTCCCTCTGCACCTTACCCAGTGGGCGCCCTGCCACACCGACATTCTTCTCCTTACAATACGACAGTTTTGGATTTTGCCCCCGCCAATGCTAAATGAGGCTCGCTGGTTCTAAAGGCCTAGGATGGCTTTTCTTCTGCTTTTGTGCTTTGCCTTGCATCTGCCTTGCATCTCCCTCTCCGGCTTTTCTCCTAACCTCCGGATCCCGTTCTTATTCGAAGTGACGGTACAGTCCATTTAAAGCGGGAAAGTATGCGCGCTGACATACGTGAGGACACCTCCAGCGCTGTTCCGAAATCTTGGGAATTCTTGAAGGGACTACAAAAGAAACAAATGCCACTAGATCTTCTCAGAGTTCTAAGTGCTAGAGGAGAACTCGGCCCGCCGGATTTCTTTCCCCAACCCGCCCAATCATAGTTATGGAGCTATAGTTTTTACAGTGGTACCTCGGGTTACATACGCTTCAGGTTACATACGCTTCAGGTTACAGACTCCGCTAACCCTTCTTCAGGATGAGAACAGAAATCGCGCTCCGGCGGCGCAGCGGCAGCAGGAGGCCCCATTAGCTAAAGTGGTGCTTCAGGTTAAGAACAGTTTCAGGTTAAGAACGGACCTCCGGAACGAATTAAGTACTTAACCCGAGGTACCACTGTATTTTGAAATGGATTTTTGTTCCATCTACTTTTTTTTTTTTTTAAGAATAGTGTTTTCAGTCAATCCATTCGTTCTCCTTTTCACTCTGGTAATGAGCGGCCACAGCTTCTTGTCCAAGTTAACGCTTTGTGTACTCTTGCTATATATATCCGGTGGCGGGAAGGACTTTGGTTTAAGACTCGTTGATTCTGAGGCAGGGAAGTGCATGGAGCTACTAGGCCTCTCGGATTCAGTGACTTGTGGATCCGTAATGCCGATGGGCCTTTATCTGTAGATTAGTGAGCTTTAGGAGATAATATGTTAAAACAAAGAGGAAACTTAATCCTGTTAAAATACAGAGGCTGTACGGATTCAGCAGCATTTCTTGGTGATGGAACCTACCACGAGATTCTGGCTGCCGTCCTGATCACGCTTTTGTCTTTTCAGCAGCGTCCCAGGAACGCGATGGGACGTGTTTAGAATTGCACAGCGAATTAATGAAACTCGAGTGTTAGCTGTTAAGTCGTCAAATAGCCATTCCGAAAGGTTTCAGCTAGAACTGGTGTCCATTGATTCCGGTGGAGGTTATTTCCACCACAGAGTGCAAGTTCTACACCATTGACTTAGGTTTAAAACAGCTCGGTGCAATCCAAGGCAGTATAACTGGGATCAAACCCAAGAGGTTTAGCAGAATAAATGGGTGAAGGAGAAGAGCTTCTTAAAATCCAATTTCCAGTTACAGTGGTACCTCGGGTTAAGTATTTAATTCGTTCCGGAGGTCCGTTCTTAACCTGAAACTGTTCTTAACCTGAAGCACCACTTTAGCTAATGGGGCCTCCTGCTGCTGCCGTGCCACCAGAGCATGATTTCTGTTCTTATCCTGAAGCAAAGTTCTTAACCTGAAGCACTATTTCTGGGTGAGCAGAGTCTGTAACCTGAAGCGTATGTAACCCGAGGTACCACTGTATTTGGATTGGCCCACATAGTTCTAACAGACTTTAACTTGCACTCAGGCCCAACCCATGCATGCTTAATCAGAAGTAAACCCCACTGTGTTTAAAAGGATTGTGGACTTTGCAAGTTTGGGTTTGCAGAATACTTAGATGAATAATTTTGTAGATACTGCACATGCTTGGGAGGAAGCCCTTTGAACTCAGAGCAGCTGCTTCTGAGTTGCAGTGTATAGGATTGGGCTGCATAGTGAGAGGGAATGAAACTTGTCATTCCAAGGACCCTTCTTCAAAAGTGCAAGTAATATAAATGTAAAAGGCAGCTGCAGAGGACCGTTTAACATAACCATGTATGTTACTGCTTTCTGCACCTATGTGTGGTATAATCCTCCTTACTACATGAGAAGGGTGAAAGAGAGAAGTCAATTGTTTTAAATCCAAGTACCTCAGGGAACGTGAATTTAGGAGCAAGCCAAAAACACTAGAGGAAGAAATAGGACCCCACCCTACTCCAAGACAGGAATTACTGAAACAGAAAAAAATAGTTTCACTGTAGGAGAACTATCCTAATGCAAGAAAACTCCTCAAAAAAGGTTATCAATGAATAATTGATCTGATTGCCCATTTCACATATGTATAAGAGGCTGGGTACTCTTAATCACAACTTTATATCCCAGACAAATGGTAAGATCTACTGGTCTCAATGGGAAATTTATAAATCCCATGCAAAAGATCACAGATGGTGCACAGAAAGGAGAACTTTTGCCTCACAGGCATTTAGTATCAATAGCTAGGATGAGGATTATAGTTGCAATGATTCGTCGCTTACTACAAAAAGTCTCAAAGAGGTCTACAATTATAAAAGCATGCATAATGCATTAAAATACATCAGAAAGATAAAAGAATATTAATTGACTAAAACTGTCCATCCTGCAATAACATAAGAAGGCCAAATCTTACCCCAACCTGCTACAAGATGAACACCAGTACTGGCTAGGCTGTCGTTGGCCTTTGGCTTATTAAACAATCTAGTATGGCCTTTTAAACCATGGGGGTGTTAATGTTTTTGTTTGTTGTTATGGTATGTATTTGTGTGTTTTTATATTGTAAACCACCCTGTGACCCTTGGATTAAGGGCAGTATAGAAAATTAAATAAATAAATAAAACCATATGACCCCAGTTAAGAGCTAGGTGCCTGGCTGAACATGCACATATTTGCCTGGAACCTAAAACTTGATAATGATGGCACCAGAGAGTATTCCACAATCAGGGGGCCACCACTGGAAAGACTGTGAAGCTGCCTTATCAGACTATTTTTCCATCTAGACCCCTGGGTATAGGGCGGTATATAAATTCAATTAATAATAATAATAATAATAATAATAATAATAATAATAATAATTGGTCAGTATTCTCTACCCCCAAAGAGAAAATAATTAAACAAACCAGCTATGGTGGGCTGCAAACCTAAACACACAGGAGGAAGTAAGCCCAATTGAACATCCTAGCTTAGGACTTACTTCTGAATAAACAGGCACAAGTTTGCACTCCATAGGAAGCTGCCTCATAATGAGTCAGACCATTGGTCCATCTGGTTTGGACTGGCTTCACTGTCTACATTGACTAGCAGCAACTATTCAGGGGTTCAGACTGAGGTTTCTACCTGCCCTATTGGCTATGATGTTGATTGAATTTTGAACCTTCTGCATGCAAAGTGGATGCTCTGCCATTGAGCAATAGCCTTTCTCTTTCCTCTGATTTCTTGTACTGTACAGTACTGGACATCATTTTGAGACATTATGGTCCCATGTCTTTATGATATGGTCATGTACTCTGACCATACTGCAACGACTTTTTAAAATACTTTTGTTAACTTATCACCTTGCAACATATATTAGCAGATACATTATCTAATAAGGTGTAAAGAGAATCAACTGGTCACATTTTGGCACTTTGTGTTCTGTTTTCCATGGCTTGAAATCAATAGGAGGCAAATTCACGGGCACATAATTTAGGGGTTCCAGTAGCACCTAAAGCTGTTTTAGAGTGAGTCCAATGATTGGTCTGCCTAGCACAATATTGTTTCCTCTCCTTGGCAAGTGTCTTCCCTAGCCCTGCTACCTGAGATCCTTTATCTCAGGCGTGGGAGGAGGGGCCATCTGTGGCCCTCCAGACGTTGTTGAACTCCACTTCTCTCAACCCTATTCTGTAGTCCAACAAAGTTTGGAGATGCATGGGCTCTCACTATTCCTTCTTTAACTGGGAAAATCCGGGATTTAAGATGGGATTTGCTGTACCTGAAGGTGTTACTTTGACGCCCACTTTCCCAAAACTGTACACCTCTCGGAAGCATGTCTTTTCAATATAAAAACAACGATCATGAAGGGGACGAAGCGTCTTTCCCATCTCCCTTCCCCGTCTCTGTGTTTAGAGTCCATAATAAATAAGAAAGTCCGTCGGATATTGGCCAGGTCTAAAATTAGCATCCCGTTACTGCTGTGGCCTGTGACCCTAACTAAATACGCTTAATCCCAAGTAAGTGTTATAGATTTCAAGTGACACAAACTTATTAAGGATTAGAAAACTTCTGCTAGTCAGCATTTTCTTTCCCAACACTGCATTTTAGCAATTTCTAAGCTTCTGGCAATTACTAAACCCTTCATACGAAATTATAATACATAAGGACTAACGCAATAGGAAGCAACTTGAACCACGACTTTTTGCGGGGAAGGATTTAGATATTAAAAGCCGATTCAGCGAGTCTCTAGTCAGAGATTCTTTCTTCCTGGATAATCTAAAATGTGTAGGGAACTGAAGTCTCCGCGAAATCAACACGATTTGCTTCTGGAGAGTTGCGAACTGCGCGAGACATTCAATAGGCGAACTTTTTTTCACCATCATCCCATATCGCCTGCGTGCGTCTGCTGAATTCTTTTTGCAGCTGCTACAGGCACAGGAGCCCCTCTTGAAAAACAAACAAACAAACAAACAAACAAACAAACAAACAAACAAACAAAACCAGCCTTACTTAGTACTGCCGTGCCAAACCAATTCTTATGCTCAGCTTCTCCAGTTCCGCTAAAATTATTTTTAACTTTCTCGAGTAGACTTTCATTCAATCCTAAAACGGCAACACAAACCCTGAGACAAAAACAGTTGTCAAGCAAGTGGAACTGTAAAGAGGGTGGCACTTTTAGTTTCACAAAAGTGTTTGACTCGCTCCATTTAGTCATAGATTGAGTAAACGAGGCTCTTAGCAGCATAATGTGAATCGAGAATTGGGGGGGGGGGGAGGGAGAGGAGGACAGAAGCCAGCAGTCTGGGTTTAGGGATCGTTAGTGTTTGCAAACAAAGATAATTGGAGAGCGCAGCCTTTGAGGAGCTCGCCAGCCGGAGAAAGCTACTCAGTTAAGCTTGTTAACAGCGCCATCCTAACCATGCACGTTTATGCTGAGATGTAGGTCCTATAATCCAATGTGTTTAGGACTGTAGACTTAAATTCATAAAGTTTTATCGTGGCTTCCTATTCATTCTTTCCTTGCAACCGGGTTATCTGCCTTTCCAGTGTAAGGCCATAGGATGCTTGCAACTGCTTACACTCAGGCTGGGAGGGAGCTATCACTGAACAGAAAGACTTTAGTTTTCTCTGCAGTTAATGAACAGTTCCACGCTGGTTGATTCTTGAACTTTTAAAAGACCCTTTGGCTTGCTTATTCCAGCAGAATCGAGACCTAGCACCTGCTATGCCTTCTTGGGCATCCTTTCCTACACGCCAGTTTCGCGTTAACCAGCGACGGAATCCTATCGCTGGAATCCTACCGGCCAAGCACCACCACCGCCACTAAACACAGGAACCGTAGCCCATGGCCGTCTTTATTAAGCAGCCAGGGACATTCACAATTATTTCGCTGAGATGGCCAACTAATGCATATATCACAAATCTTATTGACGTATAAACTTACAAGGTAACCCGGTGTGGTTGGACCCCAGGTGCCATTAGCCTCAGGATGCCCTACGGTCAGAGAGCATGGAAGCTTAGTTCTTTTGAACCCATAAAAAAGGGAGGGAAGGAAGGAAGGAAGGAAGGAAGGAAGGAAGGAAGGAAGGAAGGAAAGTACATTGGCATCTGATTGGCCACTGCAAGAACAGGATGCAGGATTAGGCGGGCTTTTGCCCTGGTCCAGCAGGACTGCTCCTATATTATTGAGAGTAATATATCTGTATCTAGGTGTGGCGTTTATTATATGTCTGTATTTCAACTTTTAGAACCACATGTAGAAGAAAGATGATCGAATATAGATTCCACAAGCTATACATTATCTTTCATTCTTTGCCTCAGCCAGGCTCTTCACTATCTGTCTTTCCCTCTAAGCGATTTGCTTGTTCACTATTTCATATTCCGGCCCACCCCCCACTCCCCACAATCGAATTCCTGTGGGGCTTTTCTTTTTGCATTCGGAAATGCCACCTCTTTTACGAGTCTCTATAGCTTTGAAGCGCTGGTCGCTTAATTTAACCCTTGCTGGTGAATCCTCCGGTGCAAAACCTCCGTGTTCTGCTGCAATGGCCCCACCGTCTCCACAAAGTATCGAAAGAAGGGGACGTGCCTATCGCAGGAGCACGAAGTCGCCCCGTCGGTTTGTTCCGCCTTAGGAAACGCCAAGCGTTTAAGGATCGGGGGCACAAAGGGCACTGTATTCTGAAAGGACCGATTACGTATGGCCCATACATATAGGATATTGTCTCGCCTGGTAATGGGAGGCTCATGATCATTAGATTGGCCTTTGTTTCCTTGCGTCAGCTCCCTGACATACGGCACCTATTCTGCAAACGTCAACAGATGGGCCGCCGGACACAGGCGTTAAGGCAACAGCTGCGCGCTTTTCATTCCTCGTGGAGTCCAAAGGCAGCCCAGCCAGAGCGCATTTGTGGCCCTCTGCCTTTGCACTGCTTTTTACTCAACTCTCTACCTCCCTCCCCACTCCTCTCTCAGTACTCAACAGAGAAAGGCACTAGCAGTTTAGGATTCATATCCCACAGCCATACATCTTTTTTTTTTTAAACTAATCTCAAACAACTCCTAGCTCGCTCGTTTTTTACAATCACATTCTGAGATTGATTCCAGCCACACACGCATATACTATGGAAAAATAGAGGGAAGTGCCTTCGACTGAAACAGACCCGATTGGTCTTTCTAGGTCTACACAAATTGGCAGCGGCTCTCCAGGTTTTAGACAGGGAGTCTCTCCCAGCCCTACTTCGACATGCCGGAGCTCAAACCTTGGGACATTCCGCACGCAAGGCAGGTGCTCTAACCACTGAGCCATGCGCTTCTATCCCTCCTTCCTTATAGCTTACATTCATATATCACCTTTCTTTCCTCATCGAACCCAAGCAGTCTCCCTTCCAGCAATGTGCAGACCCATACCAGATCAGCTTCAACAAGGTGTTGGCCTCAGGTGCCCTCGGAGCGCATCTTTGACACTCCTTACCTGCTCTCTGTGCAAATGGCATAACGAGCCCTTTCTACGTTACCCTAAGTGTGGGCTCCAAAGGCGAGTAGGGGATAGTCACAGCCGTCCACGGCTTTAATGGTAAGCACGCTTACTGAAAAGGAAATCCTTGTGCATAAACACTCATGTAAGAAGGCTGTTAATCCGATAAATTACTTATAATGACTTTTCTAATGCTACTCACACACTCGTATTAAAGTCACAAGTCTATAGTAACTTGGACGCGAAAAGAGAAAAACAAGGGACTACAGACTGACTGACAGTGCAACACGCCTATTCAGAATTAAGTCTTGTTGAGTTTCGATAACTTCCTATAACTTTGGGATTGCCGCCTGAAGCAGGCGGATCCACATTTAAGTAATCGTCGGTTTTCCACGAAGGTAAAAGAATGAGAACTCCAAATCACAGTCTAGTTAAGACATGGAGTGTTTAAATATGAATGAAATGGGTTTAGTTCCGCTAACGTCTCCGCTGCTGAACTGACTTAAATCCAAGTAAGTTGACTTTGCCAGACAATGAATCAGAATGCAGTTCTCAAATCATTCACCCTGGAAACTTCTCGTTGTAGGTGGCAACAGAATTATCTGTAGTAAGTTAGCGCTGGGCTCCAAACTTAAGGTCAGTTCAAAGCCTGCAATTTTATGTTTGCAACCCTAATTCTCACACTTGCCTAAGTCCATTTGAACCCAGTAGGACTTACTTCCAAGTCCACATGCACAGTTTTCACTGCAGGGAAAGGCTCTCGTTATTTATCAACCTCACTCCCTCCTAACGCGTTCCGAAAAGCCATCCACTATGGCTTCCTGTTCTTGAGACTATGCCAGGGTGTTTGGTAGGTGTTAGCTCTGATTTGATGTTCCAACCCTGAGAGGTTCCGATTAGTGGCCATCTTGTAACCACATTCCTTCCTGAGAGTTGACATGGCCTAGTGTTGGGCTTTTGATTCACAAATCTTTTCAGTTATTTATTTAAGTGGAGTCCTCTCAGCTTCGCGGAGTTGTGAACATAAACAAGATATGGGATGCAACGGATTAATATCAATTGTTAATAGTTACGCAGGGTTCCACTAGAATATCAGAGGCGCAGTGCAGGTTGTGTACCCTGCATGCGGTCTTATGCCGAGTCAGACGTTGAAGTATTTTAAGTTCTTCTTTCTAGAACGTTAAATCAAGCTCGTCTAAGCTTCCAAGTTTAAGGTGCAAAGCATGGTACTCTGCTGATCTCACGGGAGCAAGGAAAGATAGAGTTGCCAAATGTCCCCTTTTTCCAGGACAGCCCTCTTTTTCATGAGTAGGTAAAATGAGAGTCGTCATAACGATCCATAGGTAAAAGTAGAAATCGGCAATAGTGTCCCTTTTTTTGCTCTTCAAAACATGGCAACCCACATTATTAAACTAAACAATATATCCTCTCCTAGTGTCGAAATCCATTCTACAGACATTTGATCCATCTACCTTTATACTTATCTATGTGGACTTGTCTTGGCTGTCCAGGGCTTCAGACACGAGCATTTCCTTGGGATCCCATGGAATTGAACCTATAGGACCTTTTTGCACGTGAAGAGCGTGCTCTACCACTAAACCCTGAATCACCCCAGAATCTGGTTCTCTGTCTTGAATGTCAGCGCAGTAAAGCCAACTTCGCCGCTCCCACACATCTGAGAGCAAGTGCTTTGCACGCAGGAGGTTCCAGATTCGACCCCCAGCATCTCCAAGACACCTTGGAGAGCTGCTGCTGTCAGTCAATGTAGACAGCACTGACGTAGACGGACCAACAGTCTGACCTGGCGTAAAGCAACTTCCCAAGTGCAATAATGAAATGACTACCCAGGCACTACAGATCGCTATACCGACTTGGATAAATGATAATGGGCATCTATCCCAACATGGTTGGCTGGAATGCACTGGAGGAGACCTCGGCAAAGCCTGAGAGAGATGCTTGCTATGTGACTGTGGCATGATGTAGCCCGCTTTCATCTCCGCATGTTTGGGAAGAAGGGTGGGGAGTTGATATGTGCATGAATGGACTTGATATGCCCCAATGCTGGTCTTTGCTAGAAGTATATGGATGAACTTTGAAGAAAAAAAAGAAGAACTTGAGTGAATTTATGAAAGACAATTAACTACAGTGTTTAATTATGGGCAGAGTATTCTCCACATGGGTAGTTGGCAGTGCAGAACTGGCAAGTGGGTTGCCCAGGGCAAGATAAAGCGACGAACAAATTCAATAAATTATAATAATATTATAATAGCTGTGAAGTATGAATGCCACACTACTTCACATTAAAAAACAAACAAACCGAGAGACATTATATGTATTCCAACAAAATCTGAATCAAATTCCACCTTCAATTCAAGTTGCCTCCACGCTGACCTAGCCTTCAAATGGGGTGGTGGTGGTGGTTAACAGGTGACTGAACTACGGCTCCCATCATCACAAAGCATTGAGGGCTGACGGGAGTTGGACGTCTAGAAGGCCCGAGATTAGCAACCTCTGCTTCAAGCATTTCTCACTGTTGAGAAAGTTGAACATATAATATTTCAGATCCAGGTTTCATATTCCCAGGCACCTGGTTCCAAATCTGTGAGAAGAGCTTAGTCGGGGTTTCTACGTGTTTGCCTAGTTAACGTCTCCCTGCTTTGCTTTCCCTCTGCTAGGCGAAGAGCGCTACATCTGCTGGTACTGCTGGCGGACCTTCAAGTACCCCAACAGCCTCAAGGCGCACGTCCACTTCCACTGCGTGCTGAACAACGGCCGCAGCTTCCTGGGCTCTCCGGAGCACGCCCGGCCTTCGGACCTGTTCAGCCTGTCGCTGAAGCCCGCGGCCGCGCCGGCGTCCTTAAGGACCCACTGCGCCGGCGGCTCCAGGGAGAGCATCAAGCGGGAATCCTCGGGCTCGCCGCCAGTGGCCAAGGCGGGCGGCGGCGGGCGCAAGGCGGCGGCCAAAGAGGAGCAGGAGAGGGCCTTGGACATGAGTGTCAGCTCGACGGGACGGGGTCCGGGGCAGTTCCTGGGCCTGCTGGGAAGCGGCGGCGGCAGCAACGGGCTGTCCTTCTACCCCGGGGCGAGGTCCGCCTTCAAGCCCGCCGGCCTGGCCAAAGCGAACCAGGCGGACTCTTCTCCACCGGCCTCTTCTTTCCGGGAAGAGGGCAAGGCCAGCGGCTTCAGCAAGCTCTTGGGGAGCCTCAAGCCCGGCCGCTCCAGCGGCGAAGGCCCCCTGGGCGTGGGCAGCGGCCCCCACGGCCACGCGCAGCAGCAGCACCACGCGCCCCAGCCTCACCACCACCATCACCACCACCACCATGCCAAGTGCCACGCGGCTACCGCGCCGCCTCCCTCAGCGGCGGCGGCGGCGGCAGGCTTGGCTTATTCAGGGGGCGCCCGAGGCTTCCCGCTGCTCTCGCACTTCGAGGAGACGTCCGCCTTCAAGCACGTCGAGAGGGGTCTCCACGCCAGCCTGTCGCCGCCCGCCTCCGCCCGCTACCCGCCACTCCCCAGCGGGCTCCACCTAGAGCGCTTCGCCGCCGCCCTGCCGCCCTTCGAGGGGCTCAAGCCCTTCTCCGCGTCGGCGGAGTGCAGCCTCCCGCCCTTCATGCCTTTCACCGTCTACAACGGCGAGCTGCTCTACAGCGCCCCTTACTACCCGCTCAAGCTGCACTTTGGCAACCTCCTCAAGTACCCGGAGTCCGTGTCCTATTTCAGCGGGGCCGCGGCGGCTGCGGCGGCTGCGGCGGCAGCGGGCCTGAACCCGTCGGAGCTGGGCTCCCTGGCCAGCATCGACCGCGAGATCGCCATGCACACGCAGCAGCTGTCGGAGATCGCGGCGGCCGAAAAGAGCCGCGGGCGCTTGGAGAGCTTGCAGCCCTCCGCGTCGTCGGGCCCGGCAGGCGGCAAGCCCAAGACGGGCCACTTGTGCCTGTACTGCGGCAAGCTGTACTCGCGCAAGTACGGCCTGAAGATCCACATGCGGACTCACACCGGCTACAAGCCGCTCAAGTGCAAGGTGTGCTTGCGCCCCTTCGGGGACCCCAGCAACCTCAACAAGCACATCCGCCTGCACGCCGAGGGCAACACGCCCTACCGCTGCGAGTTCTGCGGCAAAGTGCTGGTCCGGCGCCGGGACCTGGAGAGGCACGTCAAGTCCCGGCACCCGGGCCAGAGCTTGCCCAAGGGCGGCGCCGGCGGCGCAGAGGACAGGAGCGGCGCCGACGCCCCCGGGTACGCGCGCCCGGAGCTGCAGGAGCCAAAGACTGACAACGAGAGCGACGTCGACGTCTGCTTCACGGACGATCAGAGCGACCAAGACACGGGCGGCAGCAGCAGCGGAGGCGGAGGCGGAGGCGGAGGCGGAGGCTGCCGGGCCAAGGAGCAGCAATAGGAAGCAGCCCGAGGGGGTGGCGGATAGGTAGGGGTGGGCTTGGGGAACGGCGCTGCCAAAGCTGCCGCCGCCGCCGCTGCTTTCCTCTCCACCGGCTCTGCTGATTCACTCGCCCCTTGACTAAGAAAACGACCCCCTTCTTCCCCTAGGAACAGGACAGTTTTGCTTCAACACAACAGCGGCTCCTTTAAAGACATGCCCGCATAAGATTTCAAATCATTTCTGTCCTTTCCCTCGACCCCCTTCCAGCCCGCGGGAGCTGCTAAGCTGTACACCAGGGGTAGCCAACGTGGCGCCCTCCGCATGTTTTTGGAGTACAGTTCCCAGCATCCTTCACCATTGGCCATGGCGCTGGGGCTGTTGGAATTGGCGGTAGAGCAGCATCTAGAGGGCGACACGTTGGCTAGCCCAGCTATACACGCAGTGTAACCGGTATGTTCAGAAGTGCAGTGTAATTCCTACCGAGCGCAGTGACACGGACTTGCCCAGTGCGCATGTGTAAGAACGGCCTCCACCAATGTGAATGCCTTCCGGTACCTCGACGGGAATTTATGTCAAACAATAATCTTCTGGTCTAGATGATGCAGGGAAACTGAGGAGTCTGTCAACTTGGGTAGGAAAGATACCTTGTCCTGGCTAAGTGGGAGATACAAAGAGCCATGCGCGGTCTTTGTTCACAGCAGAGGTAGTGTGTGGGAATGTTGGTCACACACAGGGGGAGGAGGCTCCAGAGCATGTAAGACAGGAAGTCCTCCCTGTCTAGAGCAACATTCCCCTGTGTGTCCACTCTAGGCAACAGGAAATGTGTTTGACTGCTTCAGTGATGATACATCCCACAGGTAGATCCAAGATGACCTCTCTCCAACAGGTCTCAAAGATAAGTGAGCAGGTGACAGGAAGTGAGGAGCGGCAACCTAAGATTATCAGTTTTAAGATCAAAGGAAAAGTCCGCGCAGAGATCAAAGGACAGAGGAACAGTTTAGGAATATCTGAGGTTCTCCACTCTAATCTGCCTTAACCCCATGCAAACCCCTCTCAGAGTGCTACAAGCAGCAGCTCTTCCAACACATACAATGACCTCAAGGCTCGCTCCGGTCATTGTAATTCAACCTGATCCTAACCGTGTCTACTCAGAAGTAAGCTCTCCTGATTTCAAAGGGACTTGCTTCTAAGGGAGGATGTGTAAGGCTGCAGTCTGAGTGGACATTGCTGTTGAACACTACCTCCGACGTAATCAATCTTCAGTGGAGGCAAATCAAGACATTGACTTGATCATGAAGACCACCGATATCATTGAAACCTTATGCTCTTCATGCTCCAGGATGCGAGTGTTTGAACCAATTATAAGCATACTTAAATTATCCCAATGGTGAAATTTCATCCAGATTAAGATTATTTGGTATAATTCTCATTGAAATGAATAGTCTTCTGGGGAAGAAAGTCACATGGGGAGATGGAAAGGAATTAGTGGACTCACTCTTAATGAGTTCAGGTCTTCAGTCTAAAGGTTTTGGGCGAGGATTAAGTAAGGTGTACCCCAGAATTAAGATGCGGTTCACCGATTCCCCTTCCTAGAAATATCCAAAAGGCACCGGGGACTCCACAGCAGCGGATCCGTTTTACTGTTGTACCTTTGTAGGGAGAAAACTGTGCCTTTTTGTGTGGAGTGGGGCAGAGAAGAACGAGGAAAGGGAGTTGGTGTTCTTGAGGGGGGGGGAAGTACTTTGTCTCATTTTAAAGAAAGTTTCGATGGTGGAGGGTTTGTTCCAGTTTTGGAGCCAGTGGAATATCAGCAGCATCTGTAAACATCGAAAACATCGCTAGCCACAGTCTCACCCGCTCAGTACTAAACACATTAACAGCCTGTCTACGGAGGCTGAAATCCTACACTCACTTATCTGAAAATAAACCCCATCAAATTCAGTGGGTCGCAAATCTGAGCAGATGTGCACAGGTTTGCTCTGTCAATTGGGTTTACGTAAAAGTAAATCTTACTGAGCCTATCCGGATTTACTTCGTAGTTAAGGAGGGATTCCGGATTTAGGTGGAAGTAACTAAGGTAGATTTCGGCGGAACGGATATTTCAAGCAAGGCTGCAAATCTTTCCTGGAGTTATTTGGACGAATCCCTTCGTAAGCAGCGGGGCTTTCTTCCGAGTTAACATGTTTACTATCGTACAGCACAAAGGGGGTGTAGGATCCCGATGGGGGGGTAGTATGCACCCTATTTGCAACTTATTTATAGCAGAATAATATTTGCATAACATTTGTAAAATAAACATTGAAAGCATGAATCATAAAAGCACGCCGTATATCATTCTCAAGAAGATACTTTTATTAGGTTTCGTAGACTACATATTTGGTGTATGCTTGTTTTATAAGACTGATGTACAGTGGATACAGTATTTTGGTCTTGGTTGCAGTTTGTCATGAGATTCTTTTTTAAAAAAATAAAGTTACAGACAAACTATTGTCTGTATTCAGCTAAGGACTTTCATCCGGTTTTTCTTTGTGAAAATTTGGAATTATCCACTACTATGAACAATTTGCTATAAAAGAAGTCCCATTAGAAGGAAAAAAATTGGTGCAAATTTATTTGCATGTTTATTCTAGCAAGTTATTTCGAATTAAGTTTCACTGAACGTTGTGGGGTTTAAGTCTACTGTGCATAATTTTTTCCCCAATCGGAGTGTAAACAATGGTAAACCAATTGAATGCACTTGCTTTACATTTCTGGATTTCAAGTTCCCCTAGGCAGGAGATTGGGCCCAGGCGAGATTACACCGGTGCCCTCTCATTGATTTCAGCGGTAGCCAAAGTTAACGATCTCTCTCTTTCAGAGAAATATAGACGTATCTAGTCCCACGCCTTCGACTGACTCCCGGTTTGTCACACCGAACAAGTCCCAGGGACTTCAAGGAGTCACACTTACAACTGCACACTGCCGTATCAAACCTATTCTGATATACATTTCTGAGTATATAATTCCGTCTGGGCCTTTCCCTAGTAATCTAAACACGGGCACACAAATACTTGCGCTGAATTTCTTTCAGGCACAATATTCTCCATCTCAGTTTGGAAAACCCATTGAAGAATCGGCAGATTTGTTATAACTGCAGGAAATCCGTTAAGGTGCCGCAAGACTCTTCTTAGCTTTAGCTCCACCCGGAAGGTCTATTCCTTTGAAGGTAAGGGACTGAAGTTGGGAAGTCAAGAAAATGAAAGCATTGGGTGAAATTCCATGGAGTTCTCTAGACAAAGTATTTTATTGGAACCTATTTTAAAGGGGGGAGGGGCTGTATATACCTGTGAATATCGCGGGACTGAATGTGGATGGAAAATTGCGAAATAAAGTAGATCTTCTCGGCAAGAGCCTGAAATAACTAAGGATGAAATAACTAGATAAACTGGGAGCCAGTGGCTCCCATCCTAGCAACGCCTGACCTACAGAAGATAGTTTCATTGTTGGTAGCTTCCTGGAAGCTGCCTAGAGGACCTGACCTGGGGGCAGTTAATAAATGTCTAACTAAATACGTTTGACTGAGGCTTGGTTGTTAGGATCACAGATACAGAAGGTACCTTATCGCCTTTTTTTGTTGAATGAAATTCTTCACCGCGAAGACAAACAAACAAAAAGCACCGGTGGGAAATTCTGTTCCCGTCGATTCAACGACCACTCTTTATGGGGTTCCAGTGTGGAATCCCCCCTCTTATAGAGTAACTATAAACCTGACGGACGATAGGGAAAGTTATGCAGCTTACAGCGGCAGAACAAGGAGTGGGTGGCGGGAGAAAGGCTCAGTCTGGAAACATCCTGACGCTGAAATAATGGGTCCCACTGAGAACAATTTGTGCTTGTAATTTGGGGCAGGTGAAAAGCGGCCTGCATGCTCGTTAGCCACTTCGGGACGGCGCCTTTCGTTCAGCGGTAGAGCATCTGCTTTGCAAGCAAGAGGTCCCCGGCGTCTCCAGGTAGGACTGGAGAAGACTCCCTATATGCCAGTTTTATCCCGTCCAGTTTTGTGAGCTGTATGGGTTAACTGGCCCCCCTTACCCAGTGCAGTATGCCCCTGAATACCAGTTGTTGGGGCAGGAGAGAGGACGCTAGCACCCTGGTCCTGCTTTGTGGGCTTCCCCTGGGCATCTGCTTGGCCACAGTGGAAACAGGATACTGGAGAGTAGCTGGGCCTCCAGTCCGATCCAGCAGGGTTTTCCCGAAGCATTTAAAACGGAAAGTCGCTTTACATAAATCTATGTGACTCATTTAGGCAGGAATTACCAGCTGCACAAATATAAGATGGGGGACACCTGGCTTGCCAATAGTGCATGTGAAAAAGATCCAGCGGACCGCAGACTTAAGAGGACTCAACAGTGTGATGCAGTAGGAAGAAAAGCTAATGCAGTAATGGCCAAACTTGGCCCTCCAGCTGTTTTGGGACTACAATTCCCATCATCCCTGACCACCGGTCCTGTTAGTTAGGGATGATGGGAGTTGTAGTCCAAAAACAGCTGGAGGGCCAAGTTTGGCCATCACTGAGCTAATGCTATTCCGGGCTACATCAACAGAAGTAAAGTGTCTAGATCATGGGAAGTAATAGACCACACTTGGAGTACAGTGTCCAGTTCTTGGCACCACAATTTCAGAAGGGTATTGACCATCTGGAACATGTGCAGAGGAGGGCAATCATGATGATCAAGGGTCTGGACCGTCTGGAAGGAAACAAAGCCTTATGAGAAACGGTTGAGGGAACTGGGTATGTTCAGCCTGGAAAAGAGGAGACTCAGAGGAGCTATGATAACCATCTTCAAATATCTAAATGGCTGTAACATGGAAGATGGGGCAAGCTTGCTTCTGCCCCCAGAGGGTAGGACCTGAAACAATGGATTTATGCTACAAGAAACGAGATTCAGTCTCTAAACAACAGGAATAACTTTCTGACAGTAAGAGCTGTTCAACTCCCTCAGAAGCTGGTGGAATCTCCTTCCTTGGAGATTTTAAAG